TAGGAAAGAATCAGTTAAGCAACAATTATCTGGTTAGCTCTTGTGTCAAAGTGGATGAAATGGAACAACTAGTAACGCATGCTTAAAGCTAAACCTGTAGTTATATCAGTGAGGGAAACAGGACTAAACACTGAGAAAAAGGCGCAACTCTATTATCTATAATTGAAGTTGTTGATGGCAGCAGCCCAACAGCCTTCTCCCTCTAGGAAGATGTCACAGTTAAACACAGCATCATGGCAGAAAAAGCTACTATGACAGGAAAATGAAGAAAACACAAAGTAAGTTGCATTGACTAGTAATACATTATTAGAAAATAGAAATAAAGTAGAGCATAACTAAAGAGATAGCTCAGGATAACCTAAGTCCCTCCAACTATAAGCTTTGTAATAAATGTAACTTTGATGAACTGGTTGTACTAGAGTACTAGAATGTACTCTAAAAACAGAATATAATTTGATTTGATGGAGATGCTTTGTAAAAAACTGATTTAACGTTCACCTGTATTGTTAAGTTCTAAAAGCAGGATACCCCTCAGCTCTCACATATGTTTTAGGTATTTAAAGTATTTTGATTTCTGCAACTAAGTTGGACTAATTGCATTGTGCATTTTCCTAAATTGAACTAAAATACTTTTTCTTTAATTGCCTTTGCATAAATTATGTAGGCAATTAGATTTACCTGAACAGCACCAGAAGATGATAAATGATTTCAACCTTAAATTGTGACTTTAGGAGCTGAATAAAATTGAGCTCCTATAAATTAACCATTTTTACCATATCTGATGTTCACCTTTTTTTTTTTTTACATCTTTGCAATAAAATTAAGGTGCTTTATCAAAAAAATTATACATTTTTCTTTATGAGCTGGTTAAATACGTTAAAGCAATTTAATGAAACTGGATTGAATCCGATCAGATTTGAGCCACAGGGTGGCATAGATTGTATAGATAGATTGTAGCTCTATTGCTTTGAAGAAGGAGGGATCTGAGATTGAATCTTGAGCTTGGGCCCCTTCTTCATTTAGTTTCTATACTATTCTCTGTAACTTTCTCCCGAAGTCTGCCTTCTCAACCCTACACTAAAGGATAACACAAAGCTATAATTGAAAAAGAGAAGACAAAAAAAGAACTCTAAGTAAGCCAGTTGTTCTTGAAAAAATCTGGGTATTTTTCTTAGACAATTCGCTAATGCACTTAGAAGAGTTTGTTAATGCATTAAGAAGATGAAAACAACTCCACTATTGTACTTTAAGTGTAGAATAGCCGATGATCTTATTTTAGGGGCATAAATACTCATTGCATCATCGACTTTATTTGTAGAGTGCTTTAAAACACAGACGATCATCTTATTTACCTGTTTAAATAGGGGGATTCTAGACAATTTTTTACTCATTTATAGATCAGTCGGCCTGGGCCTGAGTCTCCTGGTCCTGTAAGGTACTCAGTAAGGATGGAGGATCCCCGGACTTCAGACCCTGAGGATCTCATCTGGGTCCACCTTGGGTATGACCGGTCACAGGCGACCCCAAGGGCTCGCTGCCACAGCCCCGTGGGACCTAGGCACTATACCTCTGGAGTCAGGCCCAGCAGGGAGTGGACCTCTTTGTGGATTAACCCTTCCATGGTTGGGCTCCAGGTGTTCTTGTCTGCCTATCCCCATGTCTGCCCTCCTCATGTCCCAGTGATCTGAGGTGCTTTTGGATATCTGGGGCTCGGGTCACCTCTATATTGGTCAGGGCCCTGTAGGGCAAATCCGGGGCCACCCACACCTGTTGTTGATTTTCCTTTATAAATGAGCATGTCAATGCACACATACCACAGGAGTTTGGTTCAAGATGTTCACAGATACACACTGATACTAAATACTAAGCTGCAGTTACAGATATAGTATATACCACTCTGGTCAACATATAGCTTTTGCCCTCGACACACATGGATATCTAAAGGATACCCACTGCTCTTGAAGCTTTTTTGATGTTTACTTTGTTTGTCTGTTGTCTTCTTTTTATCGTTATGCTCTCTTTTCTGTTCCTCTTATCTCAGACAGGTATGGAAGCAAACTTTTAGGAGTCACTGTATATCTTCTATGTGGTCTGTTTTAGCTGTTTTGTTTTATTTTCTCTCTTTACATGCACTTTTTCCTGTCTCTATCTCTCTCCCCTTAGTTCGTATCCCTTCTTTCTTTCTTATCTCCCTTTCCATGTCCATTGTTTACAATTTTACTCCCTAAATCATTTTCAATAACGTTTCATATACAACTACCAAGCTGAAGCTTATGGCTACAGTCATAACGGTCTTCTTGTGAAAGCAACTCTTTTGAGCTTTCATCTAGCTCTGGGATAATGAGTCCAAAAGCTATATTGGCAAAACAGGACCAAATATAAAACAAAAACAAAAATTTTATCAGTTTTTGCAACGTATACATTTCATACCAAAAGTTAAAGTACTTACATTTTTACTTACCAAAGATAGGTATACTTTAAGGTACACTCAAGTATACAAAATATAAATTCCAAGTTTTTTTTTAGGTAATTATAGTAGATGTTTATTGAAGAATATATTTTTCTGGAACCAAATGATTCCACTTTAAGTTTACTTTGAAGTATCCTATGAGAAGTACACAAAGAATACTTTTAGTTTACCTGCAATAACTACCAGGTGTACTTTTAACACATTAAAGTACACTTTGAAGGCAGACTTATAAATAACTCTGCCTTCTCCAGTGGACTGGCAACACAGATACACACAACCATACACACTTAAAGACAATTAAGAGTCACCAGTTAACTTAATAAACATGTTTTGGAACTGCAGGAGGAAACTGGAGTACTGAGAGAGAACTAAACCATCTACAGGGAGTACTATGTTTAATCTCCAGGCAGAAAGACCCCAGGTCAGGAGTTAAACCTAGGATCATCTTATTGCAAGACAACAGCGCCAAAATCTTTTTTGAAGATCAAAGAAGTAATTAAACTAAAGAGAACAATGTTATTCAAACAGATATTAACAATTTCTGTTGGATAAATATTAACTTGTTGACTCATTTTCAGTATAATTAAGTCAAACAGTTAATATTTAGATTATTGTATAACAGTGATAACTGTAATATAGATGAAATTGTTAATAGTCTCATTAAATTTCTTTTGTGAAGGTCGGGTCAGACTTGCAGAGAAAATCGAATACAAAAGCTATTTAGAAGAAAATAGGTAATTTTGAATCGGCATGTTTGGGCATTGTTTGTGGGGTCCCACAGGGATCTATATTGGGCCCGAAACTGTTTAATTTATACATTAAAGACATATTTAATGTATCTAAGTTACTGAAGCTAATCCTTGTTGCAGATGACATTAATGTTTTCTTTTCTAGTGGAGTCTCAATGATTTGATATGCAATATCAATAATGAACTTCTGAAATACAGTATATGGCTGGATAATAACAAATTATCACTTAATTTAGAGAAAACTAAAGCATCATTCTTCAGGAACCATATAGAAATAAGACCAGGTTCACTACTTCAAACAAGTGTTGTAGATTTTTTACATAAATTAAAAAAAATTTTTATCACACCAACAGTCTATTTTTGTGTTCTAAACTATTAAAATGTTTTGATGTAGTTCATCATTACACTGCACAGCTACTTTGCCAATACCTTCTAATTTACTAAAACTCTTTAAACAAAGTAGGGAGTTATAATCTGAAGGGCTTTGGTAACTTTACACTTCAAGGTGTGAGAACTACCAAAAAAACTTTCTGTGTGTGTCTGTATGTGATGTTAAAGTATGCACACGATTGGGACCACAGCTCGAAAAATCTGCAAATATTCATTAGTTTAATTCAATATTTCAAAAAAAGTTAATTGCATGACAAACTGCAGTGGTATCAGTGCATAAAACGTACTGGTATTACTAAAAAATACATGTAGAAGGATTGTATGGTCACTGTAATTGAAGCAATTACATGATTACCATGGACTGAATGGGAGTTGAGAGTAAATATGTTTTCTTTATCCCACTCCTTAAGCGGGAGAAAATGGATGAATTAATATTTTCTGACTGTTTGCTCATTACTAGCTTGAAATAAAGAAACAACAACAACTGTACAACATCCAAAAATCATCGATTTAAAATCAGATTGTAATCACCTGAAAGAAAATAACTATTTGTATTCATTTATATCTAAAATAAACCTGTTTTTCATTACCTAAACAATTTATTTATAAACTGGAGATTTTTGATTAAACTTTAGTTATTCTGAAAATAATAAAATGAATAGTAAAAAAAAGAAAAAAAGAAAAGAAAATGGGCTCTAGTTTCGACCCCTTTGCATGGTATGTCGACAGGAGTGGACTTCAGCTTTAGATTATTATTATTTTTTAGAATCAGATTGACCAAAATTCAAATGTTCTAAATTCATCAGATAAGGAAAACTGTTAGAAATTACTTTGACTTAGACAGATTTCTTTTGTCATTTTGTATACACGAGTGTAAACAAAAAGAAATTTTGCATAAAGATGAAAACAACTCCGTTATTCTGCTTTAAGTGTAGAATAGCCAATTATCTTATTTTAAGGGCATAAATACTAATTTCATCATCATCATCATCATCATCATCATCATCATCATCATCATCATCATCATCATCAACTTTATTTGTAGAGTGCTTAAAAACACATAAGAGCTGAAACTAGACAATTTTATTTTTTAAAGTGCAGCCTTGAAAACAGTAATAAATACATTAAAATATATGACTGTATATTTACTGTTCTAACATTAATTATTATTTTTAATTCAACTGAATTATGTTTATTTGATTATAAATATTAACATAAATCTGATATTAAGCCTTCAAATGATGTGTATAGGCTTATCAAAGTCCCATTTATTAGTTAATGAAAGCATTTATTAATAAGTTCAGCTGAAAAAGAAACCAGCCAATGGGAGAGAGGGGAGTGCATGACGTCAGCAGTCAGCTGACAGGTTTGTTTTGCTCGATAAAAACAGAGAGAGGCAGAAGAAGGCAGGAAGGAAGCGACGAATGAAAGGCTGCTCCAACTCTGCCAGCTCTCTTTTAATTTTACTGCGGACCTAACAGGACAGCAGCCTCCAAAACTTTACAAACATCTCCTTTTCTTTTTGCATTTTAGTTATTTTATTGAGTCGGTCTCTGTTTATTAAACGCTGCCAGCTGACTTTGACGCAATATGTCTCCAGAGAAAACCTTCAAACAAAGGAGGACGTTCGGTGAGTCTCTGCTGCAGGTTTCCTCTGCGCACATGGACACATTTAAAGCAGATTATGGCAAAACATTTAAACTTTTAGCGTTTCTGTAGTGCAGATTTAAACAGCTCCTAGAGGCCTCTCATATGTCTGTGCTGTGGGGGATAAATGTGGGCTTTAACATGGGATGGGGGGCCGCTTGGTGCACAGGATGGCCTCCCTCTGCCTCTCTCTCTCTTTCTAGTGTTTACTTGAATCTGAGCAGAGGCAGGAAAACAGAGTGGAGGGGGGGCTGCAGGATTGGTGTGCAGAAGACTGCATTTTAATAAAGGCTTAAATCAGAGTTTTCTATGTGCATACCAGCTTATTCACCTGTTTATTTTTCCCATTAGTTTTGAGGATAAACAGCTTATAAGATTCCTGTTAAGGTTCTGGTCTGATTAGCAGTGGCGGATCTAGACCAAATGTACCAGGGGGCCAGGAGGGGCCAAGCATGATTTCATGGGGGCACAGAAAAGCATGAAATAAAAAATAAAAAAAACCAAGGGATTCAAATATATTAAGAAAGCTGCATTAAATGAAATTTTAATTCAAGTAGATTTTATTAAAATTATATTTCTTATTAGATCACTAAATTTATAAATTAGGAATTTTACATATTTTTGACCTAATTTATGTTAAAATTACTGTTTTCTCTAAATTTGAATTAGAACGCAAGAAAAATTAAATTCAAATTAAATTCAGCTGTAAAAATTAGAGCAATTTTTTTTTTTGAAAAAAAAAAAAAAAATAGCAGATGGAAACTGGGATCCTATCTCAATACCACTCAAGCTATCACCTTATTTTTTTTTAAGTAATTAGTAAAACAAAATTTGTAAAGAAAAAAATGAAATGTATCCAGAAGTGCTATCAGTAACCATGTCTGTTCCAGTGCATATCATCATTAGAACTTCTTTGATTATTATGGCTTCAGTACAAAAGCCATAACTGGAGCCAAGACATGATCCACAGGGGCACTGGCCCCCGTTGGCCCCTGTCTAGAACCACCCATGCTGATTAGTAGAATAACACTCTGACTGCTTCATCTAAACTTTATTTAGTCTGACAATTAATTTAAATTGGCCTACATTTTGACTTTTCTATCTTCCTATAACAAAATGTCTCCATCATCCACCTTTAACAGCAGCTTTAACTGGAAACATGCAACAGCTTGAATTGCAGATAGAGTCTAGCTAAATGTGTTATCTGTACAGTAATAAGGTTTTCTGATGTTCTTGATGAAAAAGGAAGAGGCTTAAGGAGAAGTTTAAAAGCTGAATTGGACTTCCATCAGTTTCCTCTTATTGATCTGGCTTCAGATCTGTTAGCAAATGAGGGAAATATGAGTTTTTGCATTGAAGTAGGGCTGATAAGAAATTCAATATAATATAGAATTAAAATTCTATGCCCTAAACATAATATTTGATTCCCAATTTTTGAATATAGGTTACAGTCTATGATTACAGCATCCTGTCATTGATGTTCTGGGTTTTATGTAGTTTTAAGTATTTTACTTTTTTTTGTCTAAAGTAGATATTTCAAAATGTGACATCAGAGAAATTTTATAAACTCTGTCAATTTATTTTCATAAGTTTATACTGTTTTATTTGGGATTTATTGGCAGTTTTAATCACAGAACATTGTTACATTTTTGCAATGATACCAAGATGAAACTTTATTTACTAAAATGTAGGAATCTATAGTGATGCGTTTTGGCCGTATCGTCCAGCCCTACATCAAAGTTAATGTTTTTTCTCTCTGTATGTCGGTGAGGATTCCCTTTATGGTCAGTGTTGGGCTTTTATAAGAGATTTAAAATTATAATCAGCTAGAACGTGCGTGTTTGCCATGATTTTTATGTTTATCTAATGTTCACCCAACATAAACACAGAATGCAACAAGATGAATAATGGCTCCTTCTTCAGTTTGTCCTGCATTCTTTTCCTCTGTTTACCATCAATAGCAGTTTTTGAATCCTTTATATGAAATATAAGAGATCATCCCCCGTCAAACCAAAAGGACTCTTAACAGCCTGCTGCTGGTAGATTGGAGTCATAAAACCACATTTCCTAACGGCAGCCTTTGGGCAGATTACAACACGTTATTTTGAGTCCTCCCTTATCAGATCAGAGAAGGAATTTCCCTCAAAATAACTTCATCTCCTACCTGGAAAAGTTTTCTCTAAAATAAAAAAAAATAAAAAAAATAAAAATCTGGTTCAATATTTGGACTAAAACCTGCTTACTGACCAAACAATGCGATTGTTTCGCTTACCTTCATCTTAATTCAAATCTGTTTCTATTTACTGTGTTCTAATTTTGCACTTTTTTGAATTTAAAGAACCTTGTGAAACTAAGATCATATTGTATATTAAACTAAGGGCTGCCTGGAAACCTCCAATCTACATAGGTTTGAATTTTGATTTCATGAGGATTTTTAAAAATATTTCCCACTTGGAAATTAAAATGTTTAGTGTAGGATATTAACTTAAAATCCAACTTAGGAAAGATATACCATCCAAAAAACTCCCAATAGCTTAATAATAATAATCTGATTTTAAAGCTAATATAACGGATTTTCTTTAAATACAAAAATAAAGAGTTGCATAAAAAAATCTAACTGAGGAAAAAGGGCATTTTTAATAAAAATGTTTTGTTTAACTCTTCCATGAACTGCTTTCACTGAATATTTAGTTGTGGACATAGAAGCTGCAGGATTGTTTGTCTTCCCATGTTGACCCTGGAAATAGTTCTTCCCAGAGGAACTAAGAATAACCGACTTGTTTTGCCGTCATGCTGTTTGTCCAGAATTACTCAACTTCTGCAAGTCGGGCAGCCCAGCAAATAGAAGCAGGGCGTCACATGTGTGGAAGCACATTTTGATGACTCACATGTTGCAACTCTGTGTACAGAACCGCAGCTGCTGGTGTGGAAGAGGTGCAAACATTCAGAGCCATTACAGCCTGACAGGGGGGTTGTTTCCACCAGCAGGTTGTTATCATATTTTCCTCTGGGCATTTTTACTCATCCTTCTCTGATCTGTAATTGTCACCAAGCCTTTCTCTGGTATTTAATTCTTCTTTCCAACTAAGCTTCTCATCATTTTTAGCACATATTGACTTATTTTATTGGCTTTCAGCTCCCCTGCTTCGGGTAGAATGATTCCCAGGTTTGGACAGAACAACAAAAAAAAAAAAATCTTTTCAGGGCAACTGTTTGTTTTTCCTCTTCTGTTTGAGCGCTGCTGTTTACTTTTCAGGTCATGAGAGACTGGCTCTGACACATTCAAAGCTCCTCTGTTCTGGGCTGAAATCCAATCATAGATCAGGGTTTTTACATTTCCTCTCTGTCATCGTGAAATAGGCTTTAAGGAAACTAATGTTTTGCTGCAGTCTGGAATCAGTTAATTCAATTAGACCCTCTTGCAGTGACCTTTCCGGTTGTCTTTCTGAGAAATTGGAGTTCTGTTTGCAGACAGTCACAAGACCGGACCAGCAGGTCAAAGCTTCAGCTGACGGATGATTTGGTGTTGCAAACAGCTTCTGACTTCATTTGTTCAGCATCCTCTTTGGTCCCTCTGCTGTTGTGGCCTCGGTGTCCCAACCTTCACATAAGTCCACCTCACTGGGTGTATTTAGTCAGACGGAGTCCAAAGGTTTGAATACCTTCCTGGCTCAGGGATTTAACAATTAAAACAAAACAAAAAATCTGTATATTATGAATAAACGTAGCTAATTATGTCCCAACCAGACATTAAGATATGTTCTTTAGCCATACCTGCTGATTCTAAATTTCTTTTTTAAGGCTTTTAATACTTACAGCTTTAGGTTTGGTCACCTTTACCAAAGGGGGGGGGGGAATAATTCTGCACCTCCTGTAAATGCAACATAATTCCAGATTTTCCTCATTTTTGTAAATATTCAAAAAAGTTATAGGGTTTTGTTAAAGATTACAAAGAAGCAGCACAAAGACGATGTTAGATGCAAAGTGCTCATTTAGGATGTGTTTACCAGCAGGAGAGGAAAGTTTCCATACCTTTAGCTGCTATGCATGGATTGCAATCTTTTTAATCAGTTTCAGGGTTTCAGAGGCCTGCATGGAAGCAGTAAGAATATGTTTGAAGTGTCATTCACTCACACCCTGGGTATCTATAAGGTGTTTGGCTGGTGGGATGAACTCTGCCCTTATTGCCATCCTGGAAGTGCTTCCAAAGAGTTCTGGCATTGATGATTAAGTTGTAGAGGAAGGAACGTTGAAAGAAATATGAGTTCATCGATATGGGTTTTTCTAGGTGAAGAGATGCATCAGTTGGATAATATTTGGGTTTTTTTCACGTATCAGCATTTTCCAATCCGTGCATGAGTCCATCAATTCGGCAGCCCTGCATTCGGATCACATGAGGCGCATGACTTACCCTTACCTCATTGGCTCATTGTTTGAACTGAAATTATTTAAATTGAGACTTGTGTAACATTTTTTATGATTGTGTAATGTAAATGGAGAAAGAGAAAGCAGCACTGGCTTAAGAGTAGACCTGCATCAGTTTTTATTCTCGAAATATCCATTTATTATAGCATCCAGATACATTTAAAAAAAACAACATCTTTTTGCATTACTGTTTTTTTAATTCTGCATTTCACAAACCTTTTTGTTTTCATTTTATTACTAAAAAAATTCCCTCAAAACCTTAAAACTCTCTTAGCTTAGCTAAAAATACACCCTATATGTTGGCATACAGGTTCTCTTTGATTTCTATTCTGTTCTTTAATAATTTAATTGTCATGGGAATTTAGTAGGAAATGTCTTATTAGCAATGTTCAATTCTTTTACAGTATAACTGAGAAAAATGTCTTTAAAGTTTTAGTAGTTTTTAAATTTCAGTCATTAAATTATTAGCTGTGCAATTAAGCCTTATTTCAATAAAAGGCAGTAGAATTGATTTTGCTGTCTGCACATTAACGTACACCAATCAAACATCAACTAAACATTTCTCTAAACACCCATTAGGGTAAAAAAGCATCATCAGGGCCTGAGATAACCAAAACACCATACAGAGGCCCCCAAACCTTTTAAACTTTGTTACGTGACTCATTTGTATAGGAGGAAGCAGACATGTATCCTCCATACTTGTTTTTAAGCTGTTGCACAGTCACTATATTTATTAATAAGTTTAAGAAAATGGGATAAACTGCTATAATTTATTCACATTTCTTTGACACTGCTTGGTGGATCTCTAAATGCGCTTCTCCTCCAACGTCAGATCAGGACGGAGACGAGTCCAGGAGAGAAACCTGTCCAGAGCATTTCCTACTATAGGAAACCTGCTCTGAGAGCTTCCACATGCAGTTGGAACAGTTTGTCTTCTTTCCTAAAACCTAGAGTTGCTGCTGTGCACCTTCTGGCTTTGTAGTGCTCCTGGTGCAGCAGGCTGAAGTGATTGTTTCTCTAATTTGCTTCCTTCTTCCCATTAATCTGTCTGCCCTCATTCCTTTTGCTGAGCTCTGCTTCTTGTTGGCAGAGTTGGAATATTGGATTTGCAAATAGTAACACAGCTTTTAGGATTCAGCTCGTCCACATTAGCGTATTTTATTTTCCTAAAACAGGCATCCCCAAAGTCGTTCCTCGAGGGCCGCTGTCCTGCAGGTTTTGGAGGTTTTCCTGCTCCAACACAGTTGATTTTAATTGAAAGCTGAGTAACAAGCTGTTGCTCAACTTCATTCATCATAATCAGCTGTACTAAAGCAGGGAAACCTCTAAAACCTGCAGGACCGCAGCCCTCGCGGACCGACTTTGGGGATGCCTGTCCTAAAACGTAGCTTTAGCTGCAGTAAGCATCAATGTAGATTTGATAGAACATCAGTGGCAGCTGCATCTGCCGTCTTTCTTTGTTTTGGAGCCGTTGTGCTGATGAAGGACAGAGTGGCTCCCAAACCTGTTTAACCACAGCGTCCCTCATGTAACCAAATCCATGATGATGCACAACGACTTTATTCAAATCCAGCTGTCAGGATTTCTTTTTTATCAGTTCCTCTGTTGTTTTCTTCAGTTTTCTAATTTTTTTCAAAGCGTCTCAATCTGATGCATTTTTCTTTCTCCTGTTTTTTGGCCCAACAGAGCAGCGAGTAGAAGACGTCAGACTGATCCAGGACCAGCACCCCAACAAGATTCCTGTGAGTTCAGCGTCAAATTATACAAGCTTCAAAGTGAAAGCCGTGTCTGGCTTGCCAGAAAAAGCTTGATGTGCTCAGAGGCATGCAGGAAGATGAGACGCTTCCTGCAGCAGAGAACCTTACCGCACCCTTCCTGGGCGATCACATGAAGCCTCCTCTGTCTGTCTGAGTTTTAGGGGTTTCTTTTCTCCTCTCCTTGATTTATGGTTTATTTTGATCAGCAGTGGTTTCTAGAAGACAAGATGAATAAAAACATTGCTTTATTTGTTAATTCGTTGTTAATTCGTTATCTGTGCAGCAATTGTGGCAACCGCTAATAAGCAAAGGTGCACCTTGTGTTTCATAGGCTCGTTTTATCATCGGGGGTGGAGGGGATAGAGTATCAGCCCTGCTCTCCATCTGCTGCCTGACGCAGAGGCTTTGTGGGCTTCCTGTGTTCTTGTCCTGTGTTTGGAAACTGCCGGGTCACAGTGAGCGCTGAGAACAGATGTGCTGTGTCGCTGTAATATAACGCCATAGACACCAGACTGCCGGTGCAGGACCTGTACCGCCGGGACAAGGTTCTATCCTGCATGGGATGGAGTAAAGTCAGATTAGGCTTTAATGGTTAGGCCGAGCAGATGAGCAGTAACTAACGTTTAACTTCTCACTTAAAAGTATTTTCTCATGAGATATTATGAAAAAAGGGGAAGAAGCTGATGTAGTGTTCTGGGCTACGATAAGGTCAGAGTAATAGTTGCTTTTTTTAGCTGTATTCTGGTCAGTTTTTCACAGGTTTCAACCCGCTAGACTTTTTCACATTGTGTCACGGCGGAACCACGACTTTCAGTACAGCAAACGTTTTAGGACATCCTTAAAATGGACTCAAGAAAAAAGTTTTCAGGTTTCAGATCTTAGGAATAAATAGATCAGGTCTTGGTTCTGAGGAAAAAAATCTATTTCCCTTGATTTATTGAAATTCAAAGTGGATCGCTTAAACTTTTGCAGCGATGGCGGATGGCTGGCATAAATTGTCATCCAAATTGATATAACGCTCTTTTCATATGAACCAAAATAAACTGTTATGGTGCTTTTAGGCGAGATTGTAGTTTTGTTAAACTCAAATACCTGTACAGTTTATCAGTATATAAAAAAACATCTCCAACCTAAAACATGATAAATTTATCCCTGAGATCAGCTTTTTTTCTGAGACCTGAAAAGAAATGCTTCAATGTCCACTATGCTTTAGTGTGGTTTACTGGTGTTTTTATATGAAAGAGAAACACAAAGGAGGGTTTAAGTATAAAGGAAAGATTATTCAAGGTTTCCTGAACATGGTGGTGGTAGCGTCATGACCTTTTTTTCTTTTTCAGCAGACTGAGTTAATGGGGAAAATGGGAGGAGCTGTGAACATTTAGAAAAACACACATTCCTTAGGATGGCCTAGTCAAAGCACAGACATGGATCCCTCTAACCTTGCGCTGCAAGCTGGATTGTCGTGAGATCTGACTTTTCAGTCTCACAACAAATGAAAGACTCCCGCTATTACATATGTCTCGTAACAACCAGTGAGTCGGACCAATGACATGCCAGCAGTGTTTTTTTTTAGGGAGGGACATGTAGGAATGAGGACAGTCAGAAGGGCCTTGCTGGGGCATTTCAAACATGGCTACGCTGGAGGATTCACCATAACGCAACTGACTCGGTTTGAGCTAGAATAGCGACAAAAAAACGATGGCCCAAAATGGCTAAACTGTTTTTTGTGAAGCTGTAATGAACAAGATTCGGCAGCTTTTTCTTTAAAAGAAGACATGACAGACTGATAGGCAGAAGCAGCAACGATTCCTGCTTTTTTTCTTTTTTAGTGAATATGTAAAAACTCTGCAGACACTGTGGTGGAAAATAAAAGTCAAGTCCTCACAAAAGAGTTCATGGGAGTAAAAGTATTTGCATACATTGCTTAACTGATCACCATTAGTGGAAGCAGATCTATAAATCAAGATCTTTTCTCTGTTTTGAAGCGGGGAGAAGTGTGTTGATGCAATGCCAAGGAGAAATGACAACCAGCAGTCCAAAATATTGGAAGGACATCATTCTATTTATGGGTGGAAAACATTTAAAATTTGCTGGTCTTCCTATAGAGATTCTGCTTCAAAGCTTAAAGAAGCTAATAGACTCTGTAGACTGCATTTAAACTTGTTTATAGAAAACCAGATGTAGCTTATGAGCCCAAATGCTTCATCTGTAAAGCACGGGGGTGAGGGGTCAAATGTTTGGGCACGTGTTGCTGGACTCCACGCTGTCATTAACTGACCATGAAATCTCCAAAAACCAAAGTATTCTAGATGGATGACAGTCTAATAAAACTGGATCAGCAACAGAACAATGATTAAAATGTTGGTGGAGTTTTACCTCAGAGCATTTGGCTTCCGATGTTTCCAACTGTTGGATGATCGGTTTCAAGGAAAGGCTCAGAAATAGTGGTGATGTTGGTGAAGAGGGCAGAGCCTGATTGTTTCCTGTTGACTTCCCCTGCAGGTGATCATTGAGAGATATAAAGGAGAAAAACAGCTGCCCATCCTGGATAAGACCAAATTCCTGGTGCCAGACCACGTCAACATGAGTGAACTAATCAAGATCATCAGGTATTCCTAAACATCTGATCAGCATTTTCTCTAAGGGGTTATTCATCCTTAATTTCCTGCTTACTATTTACATAAATCTCCCCATCCTAAATGTCCTCTCTCTTTTGTTTCTGTCATCATCTGAAGCACTCATTTTAGTATGGTTCTTATATTCTGTATTTGGTTTTACATTTCATCTCCCTTTCTCTCAGATTGGGGACTGGAAATGCTTTTCTTTTTTTTAAACTGGATTGAATTATTTTCTCTGTCAAGTGTGCAGAAAATCTTGCTACATTTCACTTAGTGCCTGTGAGTTATGTCTGCTCAGATGGACAAATCTTATGAAAGAGAGCTGGAAACTGTAACTGTGGAAGGAAAATCAATCCTGGTTTCTAACAGTTTATAAAACTCTGAAAAATTCGATATTTATGTATATTAAAGAAAATTAATGCAAAAAACATTGAGCAACATGTAGAAAAAAATCCACATCAAAACACACTTTTCTTTTTTTTTTTGTATTGAGAATACAAATCTGGATTGAGAATACAAATCTGAAATAAAAATACTGCGTGTGGACGCACTAGTTTATGGTGATGCATGGCGGAGGTAGTATCATGCTTTGAGGATGTCCCTCATTAGGGCATGTAGGCTGGTCAGGGTTGATTGGACGATGGATGGAGGTAAATCAAGGAAAGAGAAACCCACCTAGAGGCTGCAGAGGTTCTGGTTAAAGAAAAAAAACAACCGTATCTTATTGTGACTCTTTTACTCTCTATTTTCTAATTGTTTTGCCCACTAGGAGGCGCCTCCAGCTCAACTCAAACCAGGCATTCTTTCTGCTGGTTAACGGCCACAGCATGGTGTCTGTGTCTGCGCCCATCTCCGAGGTCTATGAGCGAGAGAAGGATCAGGACGGCTTCCTGTACATGGTGTATGCCTCTCAGGAGACTTTCGGCCACCACAGCACGGGCAACCTGGATCTGTCGGGGTCCTTACCTTCAGTGTTGTAGCTCTGCAGCCCCTCAGCAGGATTAATGTCCATGTGTATATATATATATACATATATATACGTTACAGGTAGCGAGGTCACATCTAGGTGGGGAATGCTCCTCCACTTCTCTATGGATCCATTTATATAAAACGCTTACATTAAACAGTTACTGAAGCCAGCTTTAGGGTTTGGGAGGGATAGGATGAGGAGGCTGGGTTCTGATGTTTTTATGCAGGTTTTTATTGAAAGTGTGGGGATTTTTTTTTTCTTTGCTTCTTTGGAACTTCTGAAACTAGATAGAGTAGATCTTTCATGTCCGCTGCTTCCACATTCCCATCGTGGTCCTAATTGCCTGATATTATTCCTGTCCCTTTCTGACATCTTTGCTGCAACTAAGATTATTGGAAACTGCTTCGCTCTTAGAACAGATGATCGTAGTTTGCATAAAGTACACAGAGATTTAAGAAGACGGATATTAAACAGCGTCCCGAGGAGTGTCGCCAAGTCGAGTTTTGGAAGCACTACAAGGAGCTGATTCCACGTGTGAACAGAGGATGACGATGTTTCTGCGAAGGAAGGGGAGGGATGTTGTGTCCTCGTCTTCTTTGCTTTATTTCTTCCTTCGGAGAAATTCCCGGTAAAAGTTCAGTTAAAAGCTCTTTAAATGCGGGAATCTACCACCTCTTCTGTGGGTTTATTTTAAAGGGCTGAACTGTGGATTAACTCGCCTTTCCTCCTGCCGTCATGCACCTCCTCTTCATACTCGCAGCCTATTGAGGTTTAGCTGCTTTATACCGAAGTGTTATTGTTTTGTTTTATTTAAAGTGATTTTAATCTATGGTTTTTGACTCTGCAGTTTGTAAAGTGACCTGTCGGCGTGTTTGTTACAGAGGGGTGGAGCATTCGTTGAAAAGATGCACATCCTGCCCGCCCCTTTGTTTCTCTCACACATTCAGCAATACAGCATTGTTTTATGTATTTATGTTGGACCATTGTAAACAATAAAAAGAGGAAAAAAATAATTTGTCTTTTGTGTTCAAGTCTTTTACAACATCAACAGAAAACCACCCAAAGGATCTGTTAATGAAATAGCTCAAACATTTTTCCTTTTGGATATTTTCTCTTTATTCATGTCTTATTAAAAAGAAAATAAATGTGAAAAGTCAGGATACCACAGTATTGTTGTTTTAAAGACAACTTTATATATAAGCTTCTAGTCTTAATTTCAAGTAAACACAAAAACCTGTCTACATTTTACCAATTATACAATAAAATACAAATGTTTGGCTGAAAAAGGTCTGGTTTGGACCCCTACCCTCTAATAAAAAGCAGATATGGGGCTGAATGTAAAAAAAAAAAAAAAAAAGGAATTCGTCCCCCTCTTCACTTCCAGCTCTGAGATGTTTGAGGTGTTTCTACCATCTTCAGCCCATTTCAAGTCTCCTTAAAGAATCTGCTAGCTGAAGGTCCGAGCTCTGACTATTTCTTCATTCCCAGTAAGTCTTTGGTGGCATGTTTGGGTCATAGCCATGTTCTAGGGTCCAGTTCTGAGTATCTTTCTTTGGTTTGTTACTGATGGTCTTACATTTTCTTAAAACATGTCCCAATAGATCTAGATTTCCAAAACCATGACACTTCCACCTCCATGCTTAATTGTATGTTATAATTTGGCTTTCGTATTTGATTTGTAAGCAACATGTCCTCGGTCCTATTGTCCAAATTCTCTACTTCAAGACCTTTTATCTATGTTTTCAGTTATCAGTTTGTGGTCTGAGTATGTTGAAGTGTTTGGATCTTCACATATAAACTAGTTTCCAGTAGAACATCTAAGCAGAATCACTGTTACTTCAATCTTGTCTCATGGCTGTTCTTAAACGATCAGGAGCATCAGACCAAATGTCTGAGGTTTAAAAGGTCCTTCAACATGCTGAGTAATAGGGTTCTAATAATTGAAACTTTTTTATCATTTAAATGTGGAATTTCCTAATTTCTTCAATGCCAGAAATTACATGTATTACTTATTACTCAGTTTCATCACAGGCTGCTGGGAACTCACCTAACATTTGCCTTGTCTCAAGTGGCGCCCTCTAGAGTTTATATCGGGATCTTTCTTCTCACAACCATCTTCATTCATTACTAGTAGAATTTATAGAACCTGATCAGACAATATTTCTAAAATTACTAGAATTAAGTAATAATATGATAGCAAAATCGTGTGATGTGATGAACCAAACGGCAGCCCCATCTTAAGCTGAAGAATTGACTGCAGAGGGAAGATGCTTTCATAAGAGTAACTACTTCTTTAATCTAGTAATATATTACAACCTTATTCTACTATGACTTTATTCAAATATTAAGAATTGTTCTCATAGACCTTATATTCTACCACCTTGGTGATTCTCAGTATGACCCCAATACCCTGTACATGTCTACCAGCTTGCAAACTTTTAAAAGATTGCAGCCTTGTGAAACTCAACTTGCTACATAATTCCTGTATTTCTGTGTAATGATAGAAATCAGCAGCAGTCTGCAAGGTTAGCAGTTAATTACAGTGTCAGAAAGCCCAGCCGATCAAACAGGATGATCTTCAAGGTACTTGATGCAACATTTTGTTTGGTAGATCAAGTGAATAAATCAATGAAAATTATTTTATAAAGATAGAGCACAATGCAGTGCATGTGTCTTAAGAGGAAAACCATTTAAAAATGTTCAAAGGTCAGATAATGTTAAATTAATATTTATTTGTGGAAGAAGACAACTGATGCACTATAGTGGAAGTATGCCAGAAAGAAATGCCAGGCTGAGTTTAATAAACCCTTTTGGTATTTTTACCCAGAACTGTGGGCTTTAGTCATGATTGTTGACTATAGTGAAGGTTCTATGATGCTGTGGGTCTACGACAGTATCTATTCTCAAAACCTAAGGTACCTTGTTCCAGGAAGAGGCACCTTAAACTCTTTAAAATACTGTGGGATTTCAGTTTAAAAACCTTGATCCTCTGGCAGAAAAAGGTTAAAATTGAAAATGGAGCCAGATAAACACAAAGTATTTTTAAGTACTCGTACTCGTACTCGTCGTCTCCCGCTTTATCCGGAACCGGGTCGCGGGGGCAGCAGACTAAGCAGAGACTCCCAGACTTCCCTCTCNACCTCGGTGACTTCAGCCTGGGTGATGAACGAATCCAGCCCCAAGCACCCCGTCTCTTCTTCCCCCATGGAAGGCGTGTCTGTCGGGTTGAGGAGATCCTCAAAGTATTCCTTCCACCGCCCGACAATATCCTCCTTCCTTTTTAAGTATTTTAGAAAAATGTAAGACTAAATATTACAGAAAATGTGTAGAAAAGATTAAGCAGGATTCTGAATAATCAAAAGAGAAAACTAGATTCTCTGTTAAAGCCTTGTCGATAACGATGCTGTATGTCACAACGCTAATAAAGAAATAAACACACATAAAGTCCCCAAAAACTGAACCCATTTATTCAAACTTCTTTCCTGCAATGTTAGGAGTTTTTTTTGTTTTTTTTAAAGCACTTTCAGCAATATAAAACCTGAAGTCCAGACAAACAGGGTGCTTACAAACTATTAATATGTTTAAAAATGTACTTCTTAAAAATGAATGACAGAGGAAGCAACATGCACGCTGGAACAAACGGAAACCAAACAGAACAAAAGAGATTCCCAGGATAAGCTCATTTAAATTCACTAAATCTTAATCTAGCAAATTGTGCTTTTATACAATCATCTTAGCCCCAAAAAACAATTCTTACAATAAAACTGAATTTAAAAAAAAACATCAGTTTCAGCAGAAGTAGTTCCATATACTGGACAATGAGCATTTTAAATAAATTCTCTCCCCTGCTCTGCGTCCTCCATGGGTGCAGATACAACGGACCCTTTCTGTGTGGAGCTGATCTGGGTCCTGCCCAGAATCTTTGCCCATCACTTATTCAATATTAATGATGCTCCTGCATGAACCCCGTAGCTGTGAGCCTCCAGGGAGCAAAGACGAAAGGTGTCAATATTAAAAAGTTAAAAGAAGAACCAAACACAAAGAAGTTGGCACTTCAGCATGTTGAGGTAAACTTCCCAAAAAACAGTTTAAAAACGTGATTCTGCCTGAGAGGCTGGAGAGGCGACTGTTTTAGGCCACATGAAGGCAGGCAACGCGTCCTTCTGCTGTCTGCAGCTGACCATACCATGCGTCATCCATCTGTCCATCGTGTGTCAACTTCAGAAACCCATGCAGATGGAAGGTCCCAGTTTAACTGGATGTAACGTCCTCTAATGTTGATACAGCTATTATTTTATCTATAGGATGAATTTTCAGGAGGAAGTAAAAGAGTGATTGCCTGAGTGTCTCCCTGGTTTGGGTTTACCCTGGAAAAGGCATTGAAAAGGTCAATAACACTTTGAATTCTCTTGTTCATGAGAAAAGCAGCTGAAAAAAAACCCTGATTTTAGCACAACGATGAAGGATAATACTGAAGTCTGAAAACTGAAAAAGCAAATGGAGAGCCATCTTTGGTTTGCCATTCAGCTTGAAATACTTCATGGTTTGTCTGAGAAGCTGCTCTAAGACAATGCTGAGGAAGATCCAAACATCTTTCTATAGAGTTAATCTGACGTTAGAAGCTCCGGTTTGTATCTGAGGGGATCATATGAAAGCAGCGCGACCCAAGAGATGAACCATCAGTCCCGCTGTGTCCTTGTCTCATTTCCATAACCAGCGCTGATCCACTGCTCACAGGCACCACCATTCGTCCCATGTTCATTGCATCGCTCTCTCTCACTGATTTAGTCCCCAGAGTCTTTATTATGAGAGTGAGGAGTGAACTTCAGCCGAAACGTTCCTGAGAAATGCAGAAGAGAAAACACACATTAAAATCCTGGCAGGTGGGTGAGTCTCGCTGAAGCAGTCAGACTTCTTTTAAACTGCTCTATGATTAATAGCTCCCAAAGCTTTCTGAAGGTCATTTCAAAGTTCAGCTTCACCCTGTGATGGCTGTTTGTTTTTCAGGTGATTGGATAAAGTTAACACAAATATGAGACCAAAACTTTGCCGGTAAAAGGTTTCTGAGTCAATCTACATTCTGCCCCTTCTTATTACATCCATATAAACAAACATCCTGTAAACACCCAGAACAGCGTCTCATTCTCCACATTGATCTAATAATAATATCTTCAACTGTTTATAAGAAATGAAAATGTTTTTAAAGGTGAAAATTAATTTATAACAGTTTTTCCTGTACAGATATTTTAGTAAGAATTTACATTAAATAAGATCTTATATTTTATCTACAATGAGCACCTCGTCACATACCTTAGGTTATTGCTCTTTATTATTATTATTCTTTATTATTTGACAAAGTTGTATCCTGAATTTGAATAATCTAAGAGATGTTAATAAGGAACTTGCAGTTAACTTTTAAAAATATGGATTCTTTTTATGTTTTGTTGTGGTTTCTTTTTTTATTATTTAACTTTTGCATATTTGAATTTCCTCCCTAATCTGAATGATGTAATTCAGATCTATTTAAGCCTTTTTATAACATAACTAGCTCTGGGATCCATCCTTTTTTTTTATATGATTTAATACATAACTTATATATAAAAAGAGAAAGAGGACCTTCTATTTTATGGTTTATAAAAATATTAATTTTATTGTGTAAAATCGATTATGGGGAAAAACTTGAGGTATTTTAGTTGTTACAGCTGAGGGAGGAGTGCAGCTTGACTGGCCCCAGGAGTTTAGCAGGTTAGCAGCAACCACATAGAAATGAAGCCATGCAGATTGAGGTTTCTGAGCCAAAGATGTGCTTTATGACAGAGAAAAGTTAGAGACAAGTGTTGCCTTCTACATCCAGCGCAACGAGGCCACTGCCTGGATGGGTGGGGATGACGCCAGTAAGGAGAAAATACAATAACTGTTTGTAATCATTCCTCTTTTTGTTTTGCTTTAGAAATCTTTTTTTTTTTTTTTTGAATCTTGACTTTGGAATCCTAACAGACCAAGACCGAAAAGATTTCTATTATAAACAAAAAGAGAAAAAATGAAAACATAAAAGCAGCAGCACGATGGTCATTAACCAGAAAAAGGAATTAGTTTTCAGAATATAGATCAGATCAGTATTGCTAAAAACCAAAACAAATCGCGTCACAACTTAGAAATATACCGTTTGAAAAAGTCTGCAAAAAGACCCTTGTCCTCTAGGAGCAAGAAGCAAACTTTCACCACTAGGAGGAGCTGTTTAACACCTTCTGTAGACCAAAACAGGATGTGAGACAAAGCAGTGCTCTCTAGCGATGAACTAAGAATTTGAAAATTTAGATGAGATTGTTAACATTTAATATCTGAATGGTGTATTATCTTGTTTTATTTTGTTTCCTTATTTTTTTACTACTGAAGGGGAAGAGAAATTTAATATAAGCAAAAGATAAAAGTGATATTAGGATCTGTCCACATTAAATCAGAAGCTTGGCTCTGTCTCACCCTGCTGTGCTGACTCCATTGTTGGCTGCTTGCATTCCTCTGCTCGGTGTCCGCCGCCGCCGCAGTTGTAGCAGGACACATTCCCCGCTGCCCGTTTCTGGCCTCCATTACCCATAGTGCTTTGGGACTGATAGAACCCCGTGCTCTGCTGCTGGTCATGTGATGTGGGGCTCTGGCGATAGAGAGTAGGCGGGACCATCATGGGATAAGAGAAGTGAGGGGCTCCAGGGCCGGAAGTGCTGGACGAGGCGATGAGTGGGCTGAGGTGGAGCAGGGGCCCCAGGGTGAACAGGGAGGGCCCGGCTGAGAACGGCTGCAGGTAGCCGGCAGCTGCATACCCTGGTAATGTACCATAGGGGCTACAGTTACCATGGCAACCACAGGAGCTGCAAACACACATGGAGGTGCTTTGAGCTGAACTCTGATTTAAGGAAGGGGCAGAGGAGGAAGAGGGCGGGGCGGGACTTGTGGTAGGCTGGTAGTTAGGGTTCCCCAGGGCTGCTGCAGTGGGGTTGGTGGGCATGGGCAGAGCGCCCGATGTGGAGGAGGCGGGGTGATAGTGGTATCCGGTTGGAGAGGAGGAGAGGTGGAAGAGCAGAGGTGGCTGGGAGACGTGATGGAGGCTGTTGGATGTGGAGGTCAGGGCAGAGCTGGTCTCCACCATCAGACCTACAGCGCCCCCTGGCCTCCTGCGGCTTCCTGCAGACTCCTGAGGTCCGGAGTATCCATCCATACTGAGACCCGTAAACTGATTCTCCAGCCTCGCCGCCACCCCGACTCCAGGTCCTAAACTGAAACCCGTTCCGACCGCGACTGCACCCAGAGGCTTAGCCCTGTCCTCTGAGCAGAGCGGGGAGGGCCGGGGCTGACGCGTTGACGACAGGATGCGAGCTGGGTTTGGGACAGACTCGGGGTAACTGGGCTGCGGGTGGTAGGGAGCCTGAAGGAGGTTGAAGGGAAGGTGGGATGAGCAGGAAGGTGGGTGAGGAGGAGCCGGATCCGTCTGGACAGGAAGAACTTGGGCTGTGGGACGACTGGAACCGGGGGGGCAGGCAGAGTTCAAGATGAAGCGGCCTTTCTCTGTAACACCTGTTTGGTTTAGACCTGAAACACCTGAACCACAGAACAGTGAGAAAAATCTCAAATGTGTCACCGACCCCCGCCTTCATCACACCCATCTGGTCGCTCGGAGGAGACTTACGTCCAAGAATGTCTCTGCTCCTGTCAAAGGTAGAGTCACAGCAGATCGGCATCCAGGAGGAGGAGCCAGAATAACCCGAAGAGGAGGTGCTGTCTGGGGACATCAGCTGATGAAGAGGAGGAGGATGCAGCGCACCGTCTGCATCCACCCGCTGCTCCCCTGCACGACAGTTAAGGATTTACCTTCAAAGTGCTGCTAATAAACACACTGAAGTCTGTCTTTTCAGGACACTGTAAAGGAAACTAACTTTCACACTTTATTTTCCAAACCTTAAATGCTCCATTGATTAAAAATAAACATTGATTCACATTAAGACTGAATAATTACACCATTACATCTTTCCAAAATTACTGAATTCTATTGTGCTGTAAACTGTAATTGTTTTGGGGGGATAAGCTTCCTCTGCACTTCATACACAAAATCAATCCATTTGTATATATATTTAACTCTTTTTAATTATTGCAACGATAAGATCTATATTTACTTTGTTTTTTTAGGCCAGTTCTAAATAAGCTTGAATCAATTTTCCTGATGGATCAACTATGAAATTCCTCTAATATATTAACCTGGCTTGAATTGGATTGAAACTGATCAGGTTTTCAAAAGTAATTTTAAGGAAAACGAAAAGAAAAATAAACCAGTTTTGATCCATTATAAAACAATAAATGTCCAGGTTATGATAAAAAAGAGCCATCTGTCCAAGGAAACCAACAGCCTGGATAAATCCAAGAACAAATCTGATGTGAAGAGTGTGATCTCTTCTGCTATCAGCCGTTAAGGTAGCAGCAGACTCCAGACCTGCTGTGAGACAGATCCTTCCTGCTTTTAGCCTTGAAAGTAAAAAAAAAAAAAAACACTTAATGTATTTTTTTTTAAATCCATATCCTAAATATCACATTCCTCAAAACTTCTCCAAAGATAATATCCTGGACAACAGTGTAACAAGTTTCGGTTATTTTAATACAAAAAAAGACCACTCAATTTTTCCAATTCTGACCTGAATTCAAACATTATGTTTATCTTAAATAACAAAATTTCATAATTATTTAACCACATTTTTCTCATTAATAAAAAAAATAAAAAAAGATAAATCGATTACCAAGGATTTTTACATGGAAATACCTAAGATTATCCAAATGGCAACTCATGAGAGGTCGGGAATTCTACTGAAAACAGGAGTGCATCCAGACTGAATACCAAAACATGATACCATCAGACCTTAACTTTATATGAAGCATTAAAATCCCCTTAGGAGAAAACACACATTCCTCACATCCTGTTACCTGCAATGGGGGTGGGCTGGGCAGAGATTCCCATATGACTGGAAGGTATCACCCTGGCGATGCCGCCACAGGGCCGCTTCTCCATCTTCATTTCCCTGCTGTGGACACACAAGAAATCACACCTTTTTTCCACCAGGGGGAGACAATGTCCACCAAATGGGTCGGTTTGCTTCTTTAAAAACATGTTTCTTTTTATGGAGAACCTGCTGGAGGAAATTTCCATTTTCTGCATCCTGTTTAAGCACAGACACACACATCCTCAACTGGCTGGAAAGCTGAACAGAACCAGCAGAGAGGTAAAGGAAATGCACGCACAGGTTCGGATCTGCTTGAGTAATAAAAATCGGAAGTGTAGAAGTTTTTTTGAGTAGGTTTGTGTTTTCAGTTTGTTTCCACCCAGATTTCCTCCTGTTGAGTACGCCTTATCTCTCTGATCCCCTACCAGCCAGTTAACCATTGACCGTTTATGGAGGTTCTAAACACTCAGATATCAGCGGCTGATCAGCCTGCCTGTTACTCTATAATGAGGTTAAGGCTGGGCCAAAATCAACCCTGTCAAAGAGTAAATTAGATATATCCTTTAAAAGATTATTTTAACTATTTCCAGACAATAAAACAATAACTTGAACCCTGAATCATCCCCAAACTAAATGTGTGCTTTTCTCAGAATACAAACAATCTGACAGCTGAGATTTATGAACATATAACAGCTTTTCTGAGCTGCCTTTTAAAACACATCTGATTTCCTGAGACTCTCCAGATGTTTTGGAACTTTTCCGGCTAATGTCATTCATTAAGTGAAATGTTCTGCAGCTTACTCTGCTGACTTTTGAAGCTCCAGCTGGGTCTTTAGTTTCTTCTTAGCTCCCTGGGTCAGGTCGTACTTGTTTAGGTCCTCCTCCGTCAGAGCTAAAAACTGCTCACAGAAACAGGTAGAAGAAGGCTGAAACGTTCGTTCATGAAGTTATTCCAAAATAAAATTTAAAGCAGTGCAGACCTCCTCCATGGTGAGCTGTTTGAAGACAGGGTAGTACTTATGGAGCCGAAGTTTGCGGAGCCAGTCCAGGATGCCGTTCTGCTCCGGAGTGTTGGGCTGGGACTGTGCTGGATGGGACTGGGAGCGGGTCAGGGAATGCGAGTGGGACACCTGCTGGGAATGGGACAGGTGAAAGGACTGCGTACTGGGCTGAAGGCTGGTTTGTGGATGAAGTTGGTGCTGCAGGGGCTGTGGGAATGAGTGAGGCTGACTGTGATGCAGCAGGGAGGATGCATCGCCTCCAGCGGCTGCAGAGCACTTCGAGGGGAGGGAATGCATAGAGGGAAGCAGCAGAGTGTGCTGAGGAGGAGGAACAGCGGGAGACAGGAGGGAGGAAAGGTGAGGAGGGGAACGAGTCAAGACGGGGCTGTGGGTGCTGACCACGGGCTGGACGCTGGCCACCCTGTACACCACCCTGAAAGAGAAGAGGCTGGCAATGAGTCCCATAAATTCAATTCAACAGAAACATCAACAGCTTTTAGAAATAGACTAAAAATATTCACTTATGTTAAATTTAGGAGCTTTAACAAGCAGGCCAAACACATGTAACTCTCAATCTATTATATAGTTCAGCCTTTAGAGATTAAAGAGATAATTATGGACTCAATTGGATAAACGTCACCCTTTACACAAACTAACCACCACAGACTGCACATGACTGGTGGTAAGTTAGTAAATAAAAGATACAGCCATGCAGAAATCACACAGTGAGGTCCTGCTCCTGGTGCATTGTTTGAAAATCTGTCATGCCATTTCTTTTGCTTTCTTTTATGCTGATTTCGTTTTTTCTTCCTCTATTTACATGATAAAAATGACACATTATTAACAAATGCTGCACAAATCTCAACACAAACAAGAAGACAAACATAGCATTAACATTGGATAGCAAATAGAGGAATGCTGCAAAATGTGCTTTCACATGAACTTAAGGTATGAATGCTAAATGCTAAATACACTAATGAATCAGTAAATGCATGAATGCATTGGCAATACAAGAAATAAAATACAAATTTCAGCCCAAAACATATACACTTTATTTCTTAATGCTAGATGCATCATCCTCAAACCCTCAGTAAAAACTAATTATAGTCATATTTCACACATCATGCTATGAGTCATTAGTTTAATCTGCATATTTTGCATTATGGTAAACTGGTCCGGAACCTTTAGGAAATTACTTAATAATTGGAAAACTAAAAGAAAAAAAGAGAGATCTAAATAAATCTAGTTTTGATGCAGCAAAAAATGTGCACGAAATGCAAGAAAATCACCTGTTAGATCCTCTGTACTGCACCATGCAGTCGGTATCTGTAACACAGAGAAACAAAACAGACAACACTGTGAGAAATCTGTTCAGTGTCATACATACTCTTGTGTCTTTTTCCCCTTACAAGACAAAGCTGATCAATAATAATGTGCCTACTACTAAAACTAAATGATCAGGGTAAAACTGATGGATTTTCAAATGCTGACTTAGACGCTCTCATGTTTTTAGTCTCTCATGTTGACTCTTAGATCTGATCTAAAAATAAATCACAAATCATGCATAATAATTTTTGCTTCAAATGCTTTTTTTATTGTTTGTTTATATTTTCTATTAGAAGTAAAAATATAAAACACAAGCTAAAATATATCACTCTGTAATTAATTAAAAATATATAAGCTTTTCCTTTGACTTGTACAAACTTAAATAACCTAACTGGGGCTGCAACTAACATTCCTTTTGCTAATTGATTCATTTGTGTATCACTTTTTCAATTAATCGTTTATCAAACGGATAGAAATAGGATTCTTAAAGAAGATATTTTACATCGTTTAAGCAGGTGAAACTAAAACTTTTCCAATTGAAGAGTTCTGGAAAGACCATATTGACGAGCAGAAGTTTGATCTTAAATGCAAAATGTTTATATATTTGTTCACAATTCTGGTAGAACTACAGCTCTAATTAGTTGATGATTATTTAAATAATGGATTAATCTGCTGCACTGAACAATACAAGCATGTTTCTTTCCACCTCTACAAAGTATTCCCAAAAGAAACATAATCTTCTGAACTCTGACACTAGAATCCTTCAGGAATCTTTAATTCTCTTAAATGTCTACCAGCAAGAATATGCAGCGTAAAAGAGCCGTTCATCTAGTCTAGTGTGCACATGGTGGACGGTCACACATTTTGGGCAAGAGTGTGTATGGAGGGAGCACTTCACCATTAAGCTGGACATTCTCACAATGCTGCTACTGAGAATTTGGAACGATTCAGAGGCATAAACGTAGAGTAAGAGCCACACTGAGAGACACATGCTGCAACGGCAGCTATAAATACACTCTTAGATGAAGTCACATTTACACATTGAACACACAAACACACACACCACTATGAGGTCACCACACTCTGGGCTTCCCAACACAAACATGCCGCAGTGAATTCCCACACCAGACCAAAATAGACCAACACCTCAATAATCACAGAGTGCCGTCTCACCTCTTCTCTACGACCAACTGATTGCCTCCTCTTTTACACTACCGCTCTTCTCATCTCAAACACCTCGGCACCAGCAGGAGACCTGTGTCTCCTTCCTTCTCTGAAGCTTTTCATAGATCTCTCATATTTGATCAAATACGTCCAGGTTTAATAGATTTTAGTTAATCTTTATCTTTAGTGGAATGAAGGAAGGTAGAACTTACTGGAACTGGAAGTGAGCGTGCAGGTGGGACTGCTGGGTGAAGAGGAACATGGAGGTATTCTGGCGGAAGGGGGAGAGGAGGGAGAGTTGGGTGACCGAGGCCTGCTGGAGTTGAAGAACAGCTGGACAGTGGGGTGTTTCAGGACATGACTGGGTAAAGCAGTCAGACACCTGGGCGACACAAAGAAGAGCAAACATTGCATAATATCCCCCCAAAATAGTTATTAGACAAAGATCACCTGTGTTTAACAAACTGTCATTCAAAAATTACTGTATCCATTACAAAAAAAGCAATCATAAAGAAGGTGAAAATTCATCAGTGCACAAATCTTTTTTTTTTACGCGTGTCTTCCTTCATAAATATGTACAACACTCTTTTTCTGTACTTCTGAAAATATGTTACAAACTGACACGCACAAATATCTGCAGTTATTGCCACAAAGGAGGCATGTAAACACATTAGTATTGTTGAAAATAACAATAGCAGAATAATTTTAATAAAGAACATCTACACAGACCAGCACAATTGAATGTAGTGGGCAGCGGACATTATTTAACCAGTTAAACCAAAATAAAAATAAAAAATTATTTTCTTTTACTTTTATTCATAGCACTGTGAAGGCTACTAAGTGCACCATAGTTGCACAAAAATTTTTTTATATTTTTTCCGCAACAATTATTAACTGTATCTTCATGGCTTAGAACCTCGTCTCTTTCTTTACAGCCATTCTGGTTTGCGCATCTTAACATTTACGCAGCAATCTTTGTAGACACTCAGATATGCTCACTTTTTGCTTCTATGAAGATTAGTAATTAGTTGACTTCTGAAAGTAATTGGTTGTACCAGATTTTATTTAGGGAAACCACACTTAAGGGGGATAAATAGAAACACCCTTCTCAGATTATTAGCTGCAAAAAGCATACAAAATCCTCCAATGACATGAGATCAATAAACTTTACAACCAAAAATCTATAATACTACCCGTACTACTTCTATTAACTGTCTGTCATCTTAACTTCCACACACAGACATCTTACTTATGCTACGTTCACACCGCAAGTGATTGAAGCAGCAGGTTTAGATACATAGTAAATGATTGACGCGCATCAAAAGGTCCTGCGCCGTGTTTAGAGCAGCTGAACAGCACGTCTTGATGCATCTGAGCAGCTGAAGTATCGCTTTATGAGCTTCTGAGCATCTGAGGAGCATGACAGGCTTCACAAGCAGCAGATGTTAGAGTTGGACAAATTAAACTTTTGCTGCTACACGCACCACATCAACCAAGTAGACAAGCCGATCTGGGAGCTGACAGGGAGACAGATGCGGTGTTGCTGATGCAGATTGCTATGATCACTCCTCTGAAACAGTTTATTAATGCCTAAATTAACTTAAAATAGCGAAACCTGCCGGCAGAATATGTTTGCTTTTATTATTGGGGGAGTGGAAGCCTAGTGGTTGGGGCATTGTGCTTGGAATCCAGATATTCTGAGTTCAATCCCCACTCCCACAGACTGCCACTCTGGGTCCCTGAGCAAAGACCCTTAAGCCCACACTGCTCCCCTGCCACAATGGCAGCCCACTGCTCCCCAAGGGGATGGGTAAAATGCAGATAGATTATGTCATTGCTCTGTACTTGTGATAGTGTAATCACAATAAAATCCAGACAAAAAAAAAAAGAAAACAACAATAGTGGAAAACCCCTAGCTGCTGCAGGAATTTCCACTGACAGCACATCGCCGGTATGTGGGGAACTGCGTGGCACTGTCAGAGAAATAATATTTCTAAGGCAGGATAATAATCTTGATTTCACAGACGATGTTTTGAGGTGGATTTTCTTGCTTAAAAACATATTAAAACTACTTTTTACCCACTTACAACGGCAAATATAGCAAAGCCCATCTCTGCCACTGAACACAGGAGTAGCTGAAGCATCAGACGCATCTGGACACATTTTACTGGACGCGCTTTAGTAGCGTCAAAGATGCTCTTGACGAGCATCTGACCTTAATGTGTAAAAGATTTAAAAATGAAGCAGCAGGCACCTTTTTGCTGCCCAAAGCGTGTGCGGTGTGAACATAGCATTACTGTGAACACAAGATTTAGGCATGTAGAAGTGAGAACTCTGCTGAAAGTGATTCGCCCATTAACAAGAGAAATTTATGTCTTCATTGCAGACACAAGAAAGGTCCATATTATTTAAAAAAAATATAAAAAGACAATTAACCAATTAATTACATTTCTTAGAAGTCTCTCCATTCAGTGATTCATCCTACAAACTCCTCCAGTCACTGCATACATTTAAACGTCCAACGTCTTTGCAAAACTTTTGTGAAGTTTCTGGACTTACTTGGTGTCGACCTCTAGGGACTGAGGAAGGAACTTCTCCAGACCATCTTCAGGAAAAACCTGTGAAAGCTGACAGGGAAACTTTCAGCACGATTCAACTTAAAGTGACCCATAATGTACTACACATTCTCACACTATACAGATGATACGGAGCTTTTTACACACAAAAAACTGAATGTTCAAATAACCATTTTGGCATGAAAAACTACCTAGAAAAAAGAAAGCAGTGCAGCATTGTGTCCTTCTTCATTACTGATTGTTGCTTTTAGGTAATTCAATGGATTCTCTTGAAATTTCAACATTAAAGTTATTCTTTTGATAATCCTAACTATTCTTGCCAGCTCACTGACATACTTTCATACATTTATGTTCACAAATTATATTCAGAAATTAAGCAATCTTGTGTACAAACTGGTTACACCCCCACATCTCAAATGGCACCATAAGCCTTTAAATGTCATCTGAACCCTGACAAAAAACAGATATTATTACCTGGGATAATAATTCTGCCACTTCCTTTTGAGTCCTGACAACTGAATATGTGAAAGCGTCGGACCAGCCCACCTGGAGAAGCAGATGAGAGAAAGAATCACAGCAATGGTTGAGGTTGATAAAAAAAAAGAAAGGTGTTATTTATTTCTAGGTGTTCATTTACCTCAAACACGTATTCGCTGCCATTTTCTGACTTGTGCATCACCCTCCTTAGCAGCACCCGTTCAATCACAGCTGAAAGAAGCACACTTTGGTAAAGACACTCTCACTAAAGATTCATAATGTCATCTGCAAACAATATAAGTTCATGCAAACTCCTTGCTGATTTATCTGTCAACCTGCCCATCATCACTGCAAACAAGGAGATAAGAGCTAATCCCTGATGTAATCCTTCCCTTACCTTAAACCCATCTGTTACTCCTCCCACACACCTCACCAATGTCCCAATACAACTGCACACGTTCTACATTTCTATCCTGAAAACCTCCTATATGAATTCTAGTTAAAAAAAACAATCCTCACTAAATAATACCTTTAATATTTTGAAAACAGTACAGTGATCCAATTCTAGGATTAAAGAGGGTAAAATCATGAATCTTTGTATGTGGGTCTCCACAAACGATAAGAAAATGTGCACATATTTCATTTGTCGATTTCTCATTCGCGTGAATGCATACTTCAATTTGAGAGTTGGTTTAGATCGCTGTGCTTCAGTTTGATTCATGTCACTTGATTGAAAGTGAGTGCAAGTGAAAGCACGGGTGTGGGTTCAGACATGTACAGATACACGGCCCTAATTTGGCATTGGGCGTGAAGGGACAAGCTGCTGAGGCGTACACTGCTCTCCGCCTTGATGGGTGCATCCAGCTGTGGAGGTTTTCCAAAGACATTTACACCAACAAACTGTCAGATTGTGTATTTAGAACAAGCTGCTGATTCTCACCTGCCAACTGATTTTACTAGTTTACATCAGCAGTTACTGCAGAAATGCAGAAAAATGCAATAACTCCCGATACGCTGCCTTAAAGACGATGCTGAACACAGAGAAACAACACCTGCAACATGGACTTCACATTGCTCTCCTAGTTATACTCTGAAGGCCAGCGTTTTATGTTGGGAACAGTTATGCAGTGTTACCAGAGGTGACATAGCTGAGTGTTATGTTACAGCTTCTCACCAGGTCACTGATTTCTAAAGGCGGATAATGGAAGGCATCCCTGTTGATAGATTAGGCTTCTGAAAAACCGAACTTGCGGGTAACAGGTGGGAATGAGAGGAGGGACCCTGCTGCTGGCAAGAACCTCACACATGAGGTGAACAACAACAACAGAAAAACGGTTAATTAATAAGCTTAATAAAATGAGTACAAGAGTTTAAAAAAAACAACAGAAAAAATACTTTAAAGTATAAATGACAAAACAAGAAAAGCTTAAAGAAAGCCTTAAACAAAATCTCTGAAAACCAGTCAGAAAAATATATTAAGCAGGTACTGTGCAGAAGAACATGGATTTTGTTTAGCTGAGCATATGGGGCACATGTAAAGGGCCAGCTGAGACAAACATGAATAATAAGAAAACTCATAATTTTTCATCAATAAAAAAAACCATCATATAGTTTAAGTTGTTTAGGTGCTGGAGATTCGCTCCAGTGATGAGCTTATAGCTTAATTTCTTCATAAAAACCTTCACCTGATGAATGAAAACAAGATTTTTAGGTAACATACTGAATACTTTGCAGCATAGAAAAGGCCAATTGTTCTGGCAGGGAGAGAAAATGTTGCAATCTTTGAGCCAATACTGTAATCATATCTGCTGTACGACGCTAATCATTGAGGACGTTTACGTAGAAATCTTAGTCATGGTATTTTCCCTGGAAAAAAAAAAACTGAAGGAAGCTACTTTGGATGAAAACTCAGTTTCACACATGGACTGCATCAGGCTGAGGGCTGCAAAGAATATCACAAGCATATCATCATTGTAATGTTAGTGAGTGCAATAATAATGTCATAAAACACTGGTTTAAATGCTGTAAATGTTGGCTGATGTATTCAGAGTTGCAAGTTAAGAGGAGTCTAAGTGCGGTTTATGCCCACACCTGACACAGATTACAGTTCCCATAGTGCTAAAGGTTATAGGGAGTTGGAAGCACAGATAGAGATAAGAGGAGTTAGGTATATGAGGATTTATCACAAGTGAAATTTTCTCCATTACCCAAAATATTGTTAGCAGATGATTTTCAAATGTCTTTAATCATGACTTTCAAGGCACTTTCTTTCTCCAAAGTAATTCCCAAACAATCAGAATGATGATTCATTACAGTGAAGAAATTTACTTTTGTCTCTTTTTTCATCATTGTTATTCCTGTTTGTTTAATAAGCTCTGCACCGGTGGCAAAATTATCCTGTGAATATGCCTGTTAGCAAGAGACCATTCTGAGACTTGTTTTTTCCCCGCTTTTTTTATTGTCATTACACTGTCACTAGTACACAGCAACGAAATGAGCTATCTGCATTGAACCCATCCCTTTGGGGAGCAGTGGATGGCCATTGTGCAGCACCCAGGGAGCAGAGTGGGTTAAGGGTATTAGCTCAGGGACCCAGAGTGGCAGTCTGTGGGAGTGGGGCTCGAAATCAGAAGCTCAGGGTTCCAAGATCTATGCCCTAACCAGTAGGCCGCCACTCCCCATCTTGTGCAGGAAATCCTAATCTTTCATATCTGATAAATTTGATAACTCTGCAGAATATTCTGGGAAAAAAAATGCTGAATGGAAACCTGAAATTAGGAAATTCCAACATTAATGTCAATCCAACAATTTGTTCAGTAAACACACTTTTCCTGAACCTCAAACATGCCAAAAGTATTCCAAGTTACAGAAACCCCCGGCACCCTTTATATTTAACAAACTGGCAACTGACTCATACATACATTCAAAGTTTAAAGTCAGCTTTTTTCTGCTATCATTTCATTTTCTCTGGTTTGACAAAACCACTTTCTACAGTGACTCATTGAAGCTGAATAAAACTTCAACCTCCAGTGATATGAAAATTGTTTGCATATTCAAACTAGTAATGATGGAGGACACAATGCTGTGCAGGAGATTTCAGAATCAAATCTGCACAGCACTGTGCAGGATATATGTGTATTCATGCAGAGCGAGTATTTCGGCAAACATTGAAGGCTCTGAAGGCTGATTTTGAGGTTCTGCCACATTTGTTAAGGTCTCATTTTAAAAACCAAAACCCAGTGGTTCAACCCTATACACCTAACCCTGAGGGCAGCATTCTTTCAGCTCCACTTCTGTGTTTAGATACGCCAGCGTGTCGCATCTTGTTCTAAAGGTCTCTGCTAAACAAACGTTAAAATAACAGCTGCTCACCCTTTCCCACTTTCTCCTGGTGGTTGCTTGTTGAGGTATCCTGGGTTTGCTGATGAGCTGGTGGAGTAGAACGGAGTTCTGGGCAGAGAGACGGGAGCTCCTGGTGGGCCGCTTGATCCTCGTGACCTAATGCTGCACCAGAGGCTAGTCCTGACCCTGCTGGGGAATCTGTCGTCTGTTTCTGAGACTGTGGGTTCTGGAAAATATATGGGAGAAGAGAGGCAATCAGCTTTACTTCTTGTGCTTGGAGAGAGAATGGTCCTCATCAAACATCTTTTTTATTGACACTGCTGAAATAATTAAAAATGTTCAAAAGATTTTCAAATCAAAGTCAAGTCAAAGAACTTAGATGGACCTAAAAATAAAATGTTCTGTGCAGAAGTTTAACATTAAGCAAAGCCTGTATTTTCCCTCCCAGGGTTGGGATGTCCATATTTTTTTCCTCAGTTAATAAAGCAGCTTTGTTGACATGTTTCAATAAGTATAACAGATATAAAAATATCACAGATACTGACATATAAACATTTAATAATGTAAAGAGCTGATTACTTAACGACTGTGCATCCAGGAAAGTCAAACTAGAAACATCATTAAGGCTGCATCCAAGAAAACAAGGTTCTAGAGGAAGGAAGTGACGGGACTGTGGATGAAACTGGGATTCACTGAAAAATCCTGGACTTTCCATTAGCCAAGATGATAAGGCTGTTACATTTGTTTGTTGCAAAACCTGTAAAGAAAAAATCACATCCTGAAGAAAGGATGCACATTTCCGCTGCAGATGATTCCATCTTCCTGCAAGGTTGCCAGATTAAACCTCAGACTGTCGCTCTGAGTCCTTGGGCAAAACCCTTAAATTCACAATGCCCCCTGGGCATTCCAAGCTGCTCCCTATATTTGATATTTTTTAATCTATGATCCCATATTTCTCCTTTCAGTTAATCAGTAAAAAGATGAATCTTTAATTAGAATTTTTTTTTTGTTAATTCTGTTTTTGAGTTGGTCAATAAATCAGCTGTGAGTATTGTTTAGTACTATTGGTTTTGCCTTCCAAATAAAATGTCTGACTGAAGATCATCAAACAGTAGAGCCTCCATATCTGTTTTTGCCAAAGGTTTTACAGCTAAAGAGCCAAAATGTTTTAGGGGTGAAAATAGAAAAGAAAATAATTCACAAATTTAGCTAGATGAAGAGGAAGAATGTAAAATGTGTGTTTACGGCTTTTTGAGTTGTTTCTAAATGGAGAAATATGTTTTACGAGAGAAATTAGTGCAGAGGAAAATAGCTTAAATGATTGCAGAAGATTTTTTTCCACCCAGTTTGTTGGTTGTAAGTTGAAGTTAATACACATGAAAGCCAAACATTAACATGTGGCAAACTGGCACCACAAGCTGTTTCCAATATAAATAACAGTCCTCAAACTCAAATGGTTATGAAATATTACCCAGACTGAGCCCACATTTATTTCTGAGTCAGGGTAGTAAAAAAAAAAAAAAAAAAAATACTAATCAGAGCTTAAAACAAGAGGTTTCTGGGAAAAAAAAGCATAAAAATAATTAGTTGTAGTTTTTTCCCTTCAAACTTCTTGAGAAATCCCCATAAAAATGCTGAATCATCAGATATGAACTCAGCCGCTCTGCTTCAAGCAAAAAGCACAGATACAGTACGAGCTGTTAGCTGATGTCGTCCAGGCCGTAGATCTGAAAGCAATTAAGTGTGCTACCGCCACATCCGCATGTAACTGAGCCAGCGCCAACTCCCCTCTGCCTGCAGACTGAAAGGCAGGAACACTTAAAGGTAAAGCAGGACTCTGAATGAGGGAAACATTAAGCAGAAGTTAGATTCAAAACAAAATCCAGTAATAAAATCTGTAGTTTGCTGAAAATCCAGATTTCTTGAGCGGTGCCTCCTCTTTCCTCTCACATAAAAATCAGCTGTGCTCTGCTATTAAGTCGCAGGCTCTGCTTTTATAGACTTATAAAGCACACGCATAATAATAGGGCGATTATGCAGGTTTCTATTGGCCTCGTAAAGTAATGTATTTCATATGGTGTATTCAAAACCTGCATTGTTCATGCATACAAAAAAAAACTAAAATAAAACATAACAAATGCAACTGTTTTCTCTCTGGAGTCACAGCATCCAGCTGCTTCGTGTTAGTCAAACCTTAGGAAAGATGACTTGATAAAAAAGAGAGTGGATAGATATCGGTCATGAGAATAGATTGAGGACATGCAACAACATTCACCAAGATAACAAAAGAAGGATACAATAAATAAGCTTCCATGAATTAGAGGAGGGCAAAGCAGCAGCCAGATGCCGAAGAAAACTAAAACAGAAGAGGACTGATTAATGTCCAACGGCAGCCTCAGAAAAAGTAGCAAACATGTAATGTATTACATGTTTGCTACTGTGAATGTGCAAAAAAAAAACAACAACGTATTATCAGAGACTAGAAAATCTACAATGACTGTTTTATCAGATTTATGGAAGAGGATTAGGGCTACTGAAAAAATAAAAAAATAAGTAAACTGATTTTTTTATTTAAATAATATGACAAAAAAGTTAGTATTCTAAGAATTTTTGGGTAACAAATCTGACATAAATCTCATGTTTACCAAAGTCTGCCTCTGATTGGCTGATCTCGTCCAGCTGATAATGAAAGACGAGCATGTGCCACTGAATAAGATCAGACGCATTGATCAGGTCATTAGAAGCCGATCGTGGCATCAAATCCACAAATTCTTCAACTGCTCTCTCATGTACATTGACATTATATTATAAGGTATCAAAATTATAGGAGGTGAGAAAGTATAATGAATTATTCACTATTTTTGTGAAGGGGGCAGTTGAGATAAGATTTTTTCATTCAAAATAGAAGAAAGAGAAAATAATTTTGAAAAAGGATTAAACAGGAATGCTCCTAAGAAGCTTGTGGGTGGATAAAAAAAAAAAAGCTGTTTTAATTTAGACCTAGAAGGACTGTTTCATGTTCCTTCCTCCAGAGCAGCAGTCATCTTTGTTCTCTGCTTCGCCACTTTGTCTGCCCAGTGGCTACTATGATGTACTGTACAGCTGCAGTTCCTTAGCTTTAGATGGGTGAAGACTGGCAGCCTCATCCCAGTTATTTTTCCCGAGCTGCTACTGTCTGAGCTATGAATACCATTTCCCCTTACCTTTTTAGTCTGGATACTCTGACCAAAACACACATGGCCGAAGCACAGGAGAAGCTCAGAGAAGCAAGGCAATTCCCGCACTTAAAATCTGTGGCTAATCAAACAGGCTTAGATATCAGTTGTTTCGTCAAGAAAAAACATTTCTAAATCTATTTTTGGTTATGAGTCCAAAGGGATAAACCACCGCATTGCTTCAAAAGCTGGGCCAGAATCACAGCTTTCCCATTTCACTGGCCTTCCACCTGGATATGCAGCCACCAGGGCAGAGCTGAGAGACCTTACAGTGGAAATGACATCTGGAGTGTTCCAGTCAGTAGCCAGTTCTGTAGCAACAAGAGCTGAAATCTAAAGTGGTTCCTAAACTTTACATTCACCTTTCCTCTCCTTGTTATAGATTCAAGAGGAAATTAAGTCAAATAAGGTGGAGAACCCCTTAGCTTGAACTCCTGAGAGGCTCCTTAGAGACTTTCTACACAAATCAGTATTTAATTGATTTCCAGGCCATGACCTTTTATTAAAAAAAAATGCAACAGATAGTCTTGTGCTTTTTTTTAATAAGAGTAATTTCTTTATATATGTATTTGTTTAGTTGTTCCTTAATGGCGAATTATATCATTATTAAGATTAAAATGGTTTAAAACTCATCTTCTGTTTACTTCAGAGTCTGATAAATTAATGTGAATGAACATATAGCCTAAAGTAGCTCATTGTAAGATATCTATCTCCATCTGTCCAGATATCAAGCTTGGGCTAAACACAATAATCACCAGGAAAATGATCCCCAAGTGTCTAAAACTACAAAAAAAATTATCGAGGATTAAATTTGCTCTGCTGCAGAAATGTCTGCAAAGCTTGATAAACTGAAGCATCGTTCATTGATGTCATTTATCGTTCTTCCTCAAAAAAGCGACTGACTGGTGAGGTCATATAAATGGTCGCACGATTACTCATCTTAACAGGATGTACGTAATATCAGGGCTGACTGTTGTTATTCAACTGCAAACACTTAAGAGTATAGCTTCAAAAGTTTTAAAAAATCTGTTCCTATGGGGAATCTTACTATAAAGGAACATTTCTGTACACAAATAATAAGTTAGGAGCATTACTGCATTGTTTAATCACGAAAGCCTTAAGGTTCATTTTGTATGCATTTCTTTTTTAAATGTATTCTTTTTTCTATATAATTTAGAAAAACTGAAGCAAAAAGAAGTCATACTAATTTTCTTCCATTTTCTTAATACCATGATTCAGACAAACACCTTTAAAGCCTTCCACTTTTTTCCAGCAAACTGAACGCTGTATTTCTCTAGATAATCTGTAATATGTGACATTTCTGGATTTAAATAGAACCATGTCGGTGGCTTCATAGCACAGAGAGATGGAAAGACAGCCAAAGAGTGAGCATTTATAACTTCCTGAGGATTCACTGGAGACTCACACACACCACAGAGGGTTGATTTCAGCACTGAGAAATGTGCTGACCTGCACTAAGCAGGAGCCAAGGGCAACAAAACACTAAATACAAACGCTCCTCTGAGCTCGGTACTTTCCCTTCACCGCTCCTTGCCTGCTTTGGAGGGAGAACAGGCCGTAAAAGTGTGTGTTTATGTCTGCACCGAGTTAAGAAACACGCATTTAAAGTTTTGCCTTTGAACTTTCCCTTTTATTCAATGTTTTTTCAACTTTTTGCTCCTTTGACCCTGATGATCCAGAGTTAAAGGAGCAGTTCAGTTTCCTGCACGATCTGGAAATCCCCTCCTATGCTCCCGCTGTGTTCTCCACCTCTCATCACATCCCAGCTGGAAGACCACATCTGGGTGTAAACAACAGCCTCTCTTCGTCTATTATCAACAGCGACATTTGCCACTTTATGGCTGACTAATGAACTCCTTTCTTTTTATAGCAAGAATACATTTGAGAAAATAACAGCAGTATTTAAAGTGATGCTAGATAAGAGATATATTCTATGACCTTACATTGTGACCCTATAAAAAAGTATTTTTGAACTTTTTTTGCATTTTTTTAAATCCACACTTCCTAGCTTCTTTTAATGCATACAGTAATAAGTCCCTGAGCAACAAGCTGATGATTAATTCACCATCATGTACCAAAAGTAATGCTGCACCTAACAATTATTTTACTAATCCATTCATCTACTGATTATCCTTTCGATTAACTGAAAAATCAGAATCCTTTAGTAACTTAAGATTTCTAAATGAACAAACATTTGCAAAACAGATAGACTTAAACAGTTTTTTTAAAGGCCGATACTGATTATTTTGATATCTAACTAACCGATCTCTAAAGGGAGCTGCTCATTTTTTTAGCAGATTCTTGAAGCTGATATTGCTTTCTCATCCTCCATTTCTATGGTCAAAATTACACAATGATAACTGTTAGACAAGTTGCAGTATTAACAAAACATTTCATTTTAGCAAATAGAGGGGGCGAAAAAGCATATACTCTGCCTAATCTCAAGGTATACCTGCTCAATCCACTGATGATCAGCAGATGCATGGACGTACTCGTCGCTACGATACAAGAAAAACAAAACAAAAAAAAAAATGCTAACATTGGCCAAAAATATAAAAAATTAATTTTGAGTTTAAAAAAAAAAAAACTTCACTGCACAATTTAAATGAATTGCAAATGGTAAAATATGAAAAAAAAAAAATAATAATTAACTATTTGCTCATCTCCTCTAAGTGTGGCTGAACGATTTTGCCTAAAATCTAAATCGTAATGATTCTAAACCAAAAATTGCTATAGCAATTTAAATCTGATTTTCCTTTGCACTAAGCCCAAGTTTGTAGATTTTCCACCCCAGGCTTTTGTTGTTTTTTGAAAGCTTGCTTACCCAGACCCCGTGGTAAAAGAACCTTCCTGTAACGATCCTATGAAAAACTGTTTACTTTTACTTGCATTTATGGATCTGTGTGCTAGCTAAACCTCTCTCTACCTTTCTGTGTGGTAACACACCCACTTCAAGCATTTAATCACCACCTAAAGGCCTGGAGGGACTAATTAAGTGCCTTACTCTTGTTAAATATAGTGTGATTAAAAATCAGTGCGATTTGAAAATTGTGTTTTGTTAAATTGCGATTATATTGCAAATGCAATTAATTACCCATCACCAGTGTGATGTTCACCTTTAATCTTTAAAGGTTTTTTGGGGAAGTGTGGCCTAGTGGTTAGGGCATTCATTTGGAATCCAGAGGTTCTGAGTTCCAGTCCTCCTCCCACAGACTGCTACTCTAAGTCCCCGAGCGAAGACCCTTACACCCACACTGCTCACCGGGTCCCGCACAATGGCAGACCACTGCTCCCCAAGGGCATGGGTTAAATGCATAGAGTTAATTTCCTTGCTCTGCACTTGTGACAATGTAATGACAATAAAGTTGAATTCTATTCTATTTCTATTATATTTTACTTGTCACTAATTTTCCTCCCATGGTAATGCCCAGCAAGCTAGGCTACAGTCCCTATAATCTTACATTTTTGAATAGTATGTTGGACTGTAGACACATTAACATCAAGCTGCTTGGAGAGGCTCCAATAACCTTTAACTTTAACATGATTGTCTACAGTTTTCTTTCTAATCTCCTGATATAACGTTTTCCTTTGGTTCTCCTATTCCATGTTGAGTGTTGTAAACACCATGTCACCATACAACACACTTGTAGCACTATAAATAGGCCAAGCGACTGATTACAATATTGCAGACAGCTGTAATGCTAATTAGTGGAAATGTTCCTTGGTTCACATTATTTTCTGTCTTTTTTTGTTGAGGCCTGTTTAATGAGTTTATTTTTTAAATCATTCTGTTTAAGCACGGTTGAAAGCATGGAAGAAATTTTGATTTTGTAAGTGGGGAGGGACGCATATACTTTTTAATATAACTCATATATAAGTTCAGCACAATTTCTAGTAGATTCGTTCTCTGAATGTTTCCCCCAGTTTCACTTGCATCTCTGCTATCCCTCTTCTGACAAAATGTATGGATGCAAGACATGAAAAACTGGACAATTTGGGGTGCAATAATCCATGTAGATTAAAAACACAGTTTTATCATTTTTATGAGCTTAGATATATAAAATGAGATTCATATATAATGTTTTTTTTTTCCTTTTTGGATGATATTAATAATATATAACAATAATAAATTTGATTTATCAGCACTTTTAATCAAACAAATATATATACAAATATATAAGATTTTATTGAAAGCTTTAAAATGCGGAGAAGGATCTTAAAGTGGATATGCTGCCCTATGGAGCCAGTGAAGGTGTATAGGAGTGTATAGGAGGGGTGTTACACAGTTCCTTGAATGTAACTTACACTTGACTTTTAAAAAAAGTCTCTTATGCGTCTCTTTTTTTTCAACATCCTGGCTGAGAGTCTAATAACCAAACACACATAAAAACACATGCACACAGGAGACCAATTCAAAGAACCGTGTAAATTAATACACCTAATATTACAACCCTTCTAGATTAAGTGACACAAGAGAAGAAAAATTTACAGTAGCAGCCCCGCTTCACCAACCGTCGTCTTTTGCAGACCCATCTTCTACTCCAAGATCGTAACTCTTTGATGGTTTAGGTTATCTCAAAAATTCAAAACGTAACAGAAAGGAGAAAAAAAATACTTGCAACCCTAAATTCTGATTACGGTAGCGCGTAGGACCTTAGCAGCACTGTGACCCGATTCCATGGCATATCAGATGTTGGTAAAGTGAGCTTCTCAGGAGTGACAGCGCTACTAGCTAATAGCACAAGAAAAGATGGAGGGCTAATCAAGAGCTTGTGGGCGGTCTAAACTCAGGGAAGCGGGCTTCAGTTTGAGCCGCGGTTTTCCATTTAATCCTAGTGCTCGACAATGGTCTGTGTACTGTAGCATAACAATGTTTTTAGACATTAAAAAGTAGAGGGGACAAAAACAGACTTTTGAAAAAGTGCAGGGGACATTTCCCCTGTGTCCCTCCCAAAAATTACATCCATGGTTGAAAGCAAGCTCTGACTTTCATATGTTTCAGATCTTCCTATCTATTATTTCTTTAGTTCTTTAATTCAAGTTATCTCTATGATTAGTGTGTGTTTTTTCTTTCATTAAATGAGGGGTACCAACAGTATCGTCCATGTGTGTAGCTTGCCTTCATTAGAGCCCTCTGTGTTCATCAGCAGGCAGCATAATAATTTCTGTCAAAACAATATCACCTGGATTAGATTTTAATTTAGTATTAGTAATGTAATATTTGATCAAATAAAATGACTAAAGGCTTTACTGGCTGACATTTTTGGTAGGATTCCCACATGATTCTATTGGGATTCATTTACTAATAATGCCAGGATCGGGATGGTACGTGATAAAAGTTACTGTGAGCAGACAGGAGCTTGCACCTGTATTTATTGATCTAGCTAATGTATAACATTAATTATTTATCAATAGATTTTATCTAATATAATAGTACATGAGTACATCCATTTTCCTTCCTACCTTATGCCAGCAGCATGTTGGCAGGTAGGTGGCGCTGGTATTGGTCAGGGTGGAGGGAGATGGAGGCAGTGAGGCCTGCTGCATGGAGATGGTCTGATGGTGATAGGGGGGATGAGGCTGAGCAGAACAAACAGCAGCTCCATCACTACTGGGCTCTGCTGCAGCTTCTCCTCTGGTTACCTTGAAAAGGGAAAAAAGTCTCTCAGCCCAAAACTGAAGCACAGAAATATGCAGAGGGGGTAGGGACACGTTGGTTTGAATGTTTTACACATGTTTAAATAATGCAATATAAAATAGCATATAAATTATCCCTAAAATCCAAACTTGTTCTGTTTAAATTAAATGTGGATGGCATCTTTTCAATGTAGAAGCATAATGTTGAACTCATGGATCACATTTGAAACCAAGTACAAAGGTTCCTGCTTGGATTGTAGTATGTATATAAGAAAATGCAATTAATGCATACATTTTTTGAACACATTAAAATGTTTCTGATTAATTGTAATGAACGTGCTTAAGTCCCACCCCTAGCCAGTATGCATCCTTGTAGAATGTTCCCAATAAACTGAAAATGCTAGAAACATTTTCTGATCTTAGGACTCAGAGAAGCTGCTTTTTGCATCATTAAACTGCCTGATCCTAATTACCTTATTTGTTTGAGGAAATGTTTCCATGCAAAGAACACTGATGTGAAATCATGAGCTTTAGATTGTTAACCACGTTTACTTGGTCTATGTTATGACACTTGTCACACGTATAAACAATATGGCCCTAATTACTTTCAGTGGGTCCTTAAACCCTGCAGTGACTCTTCTGTAAAATCTTACACACATAATAAAAAAAATGATTTTGTGAAAATGGTTGAGTAAAAATCAGCAACAAACAGCAAATAACCAAGAAAACATCAGATCAAAACATCTTAGAGAGGGAACCTCTTGAAGGTTCACCTTCTATGTGAGTGTGATAGCTGCAGGTTTAACTCTTCCCTCCCATTACGTGCCGAACTTGTGATATTGCCTTATTAACCCATTACCATTCAGTGGCAAGGTCCGCTTAACATCAAGCAAACATTTAACTCACCAGCTCAGAAGAAAAGCAGCAACCTCTCAACCTCTATGTGCCTTTTGATCCCCTTTACTTCCTGAAATCAGCACAAACCTTTAAAAGCTTGACCGACGCTTCGCTACGTTTTGCTTCTTTTTAAAGAAGTAATTTCTTTGCTTTTCCACAGAGCTCATGCTTCAACCTAATGTTCATTGTGGTGCATTGCATGTTGTCTGAGCAAAAACAAGGCTTTGGCCACTGTATAAAATCTAGAACTCAATGCTATTTCTGACATTTGAATTGAAAAAACTTCCTGGATGGAAAGCAAAACGTCTTCAAACTTGGAAATAAAGTCCACTGAATTGTTTTTGAATTTTTTTGGAATGACTATGACCTGGATGACTGAGAACCTTCACCAGCCTGTCGATTGTTTTTTCGATTTATTGCTTTATAATTCCATAGCAAAAGGTTCTTTTAAGAAGATTTTACCGTATACAGAATTAGACCAGGTGAAACAAACTCTCCAACTTGTGGAGATCTGGAAAGAGCATATTGACAGGAGAAAGTTTTCTTTTTTTATCCTAAATGCCAAAAAAACGTATATATTCTTTTGTTTTAATATATAATTATTGCTATCTGCTTAATCACGAAAATCCTATTAATTGTTTCAGCCCTAATCCAAATAATGATTTATATACATTTTTTCTTTAGTAAAATGTAAAGATGCAACTGTTCAATTAATGTGTTATTATTCTAAAACTGAAGTCTTTTAATAATAAACTTATCGACATGCAAAAAAGAAAAGAAAAGGAAAAAGACTACATGAGGGTTTATGTTCTAAAAACTTTTGCATCACACTGCAATTTTCCTGTTGAGTGATTTAAGGCAGAGGTGAGCTACAGTAACACCCCCAGCCTGTCATTGTTGACGTCTCACCTGTAATTAGGCACTAAGGAAACATGTATATTTGCTTTACCCCCCCCCCAAACTCACACACAAACATAGTGTTTTTGGGTTTTTTTATCACATACGGGGACATTTCATTGCATTAACTTTATATGGCCTAACCAAGACCCTTTCCCTAAGCTGAACTATTACCAACATATACCCTACCCAAATCCTAATCTAAATTAAATTCAAACCTTAGTCCAAACATAACCCTAATGCAAAGAACAGAACTTTACCATACAGGGACCAGTTGACTGTCCCCATATGTACCTGTAAGTCCTCACATGTAGGATATTTACAAAATACTTCCCCCACATTGTAGGTAGACCAAGAACACCCACACACTTGCACACTCTATCATTTGGTTTTGTTTTACCTCCTTTCTGCTGTGGTCAGGTGGGTAATGAGTAAAGACAATCATGGGGTTAAAGGACATTCCAGCTCTCAGTGCATTTCAGATTTCTCAAAAATAAACTTTTTTGTTGAGCTTTTTAATTGACTGTTTTTATTAAGAGGTGGACTTCATCTCAATGCAACATTATTGTGTTTTTAGTTGTCTTGGACCATCTTATTTGGAAGTTATCTTTTTTATTATTATTATTATTATTATTATTAAGGAAAGTTTTAAATCTGAAAAAAAGTTTTTCCCAGAGTTCTTTTCAGAGTATTTTCATTTCTTCATTTTTTTTCTCTGTGAGAACCGTCCTTCAGAGTCTCTGTAAAGTGCCCTGAGATGATGTGTGTTGTGAATTGCCGCTATACAAATAAACTGAATTGATATGAAATTGAATTCTCATCTGATGCAAAATGTTCAAGCATCACAGCCTTAGTTGAAGTTAATTTCCAACATTTAACAAAGCTGACAAGCCGCAGACCTACAGAACCCCTCACATTCAGCACTTTGTCAATGCTGCCAATTCTGTCACTCTTTTGCTCTGTTGATGTCATTCACACCACAGACTTTTCCATGAAGCTGCTTTCACTTCCTTTTACAAAGGAAGAAAAACTAAATCAAACTCTGAAAACATTTCAGTTATTAGTAGAACAGACAAAAAAGGGAAAAATTATTTTGTATTACAAAGATGGATTTGCTAAACTCCTGCACCTGGACAAAATATTCTTTCCCACATTGATACAGAAATCTTCTCCACTCCTCTTTGGTTTTTTTACTAGCCCTACCACTGCGCTCATTTTTACTTCAAATAAATCCGGCATCTTTATATTATACCGAGTTAATAACATAGACTGAGCGTAGAAACATAGATAAAATGATTTCTGGGTAAATAAATGGATGGATGAATAAACCAATGGAGGAAACAATGACTAAATTAATGGATTTATCTATAAGATTTCTATTAATATTTTCTATTATTACCCTGGTCCAAACCTGGTAAATTTGGAATCAAACTCTATACTGTACCACACTTTATTATAATAATTCAGTATTTTCCCAAAAACAACATTCATTATATCACCTAAGGTTCTGGAGCAGCACCACACCTCAAGCACACCTCTAATTACCCAGCAGTATTCCTGAACCCTGTTGACCCAAACTTCCCAGCCTCTCTGATAATTTTCCACCCCACCCTCCCTTACCCTCAAACTGTTTTCAACTATCCCCTCTTCCTCCCCTGTATCCAGAGGTGTCAAGTAGTGAAGTACAAATACTTCGTTACTGTACTTAAGTACACTTTTTAGGTATCTGCACTTTACTCAATTACTTATTTTCCCTCCTCCTTCTGACTTCTACTCATTACATTTTCACACAAGTATCTGTACTTTCTATTCCTTACATTTTTAAAACAAACGTTACTCGTTACTCTTGGCTTTGGATTTATGTTTATAAATATATATTTCACGTCATGTGCGCCATCCAATCTAGTGAAAACTAGTGTCATTGGATGAGTCATATAACGCAAACACTCATTGGTTAGCTAAAGGAAATCATTCATTTCATCAGTGTGAATTGTCTATGCCACGCTACAATGTCGGATTCAGAAAAAGATGTTGAAACGTCTGAAAGGTCGGACACAGGCGAGAGCGATCGGGAGATGGAGACCAACAAGACCTCCCTCATCCGTGGCCCTATAGCAAAAAATTTTTTGGAATACTGAAAAAATTTAGCTTTCAATTCATATAGTGGCATCTGGATGTTTTTTTGAAGGTTACTTTAAACTTTTATACTTTAAGTAGTTTTTGGAGCACATACTTTTCACTTTTACTTGACTTTTGACACCACTGCATTTATGTAAATATAAATCTTGCTTTTTAATTGTCACCTCCTATTATAAAGTAGCTGAAGTACCCTTCTGCATCAGCTCCATTTGCTGGATGCCCAAATTTATTCCATTGTTTCTGCAGTCAAGGGCCACACAAATCGATTACAAGGGCTGCAAAATATGTCCAAGTTTCAATCATCAAGTGTTTAAATCCTGCCTGTATCTCATCATAATCATCATTATGAATATTGGGGGGGCTTTGGCCTCCCCAGGTGACCAAATCTTCACTTCCTGTTCCTCTAACACTTTGACCCTTTTCTTTGATAAACTTTCATATTCAATAGGAGAGGTGATGGCCTAGTAGTTAGTGCGCTTGTGCTCTGAGAAGGTTGCAAGTAATAGGTTCGATCCCCACAGCCTCCACTCTGGGTTCCTGAGCAAGAACCATAATCCCAGATTGCTCCATGGGCACCACACAATGGCAGCCCACTGCCAACAAAGGGGATGGGTTAAATGCAGAGCGAATTTCTGCATTGTGGGACAATAAAGGGATTTATTTAATATCCAGGTTTTGTGGAGACAAATAAAGTCCATTCAGGTTAACAGTGTCCTCTCTCCATGAGGACACTGACACCTGACACCTCCCTGAGTAATAACCAGCTGTCCAGCTCTCACCTGGAGGATGTCCTGGATGTGGTCCAGCTGCTGCCTCAGCACCTGTTTCTGGTGGAAGTTGAAGGCCGGGTGGTTGGAGGCCATGGTGAACAGCAGCAGGAACTGCTCCTCAGTCCTGCCGTCGTTCAGTGCCAGCCCATAGTTATTGATCACCGTGTCGATGTGGGTCAGGGTCCGGTACAGGACCCCCGCAGCCTCCCGGTTATCAGTGCCCAGCAGAGCCAGGGAGACCAGGAGTTTGCTGCGAACCACCTCATCCGTGATGTTGGTGAGGCCCGAGAGGTCTGCGGGGTTGTTGGCTTTGATCTCCGCATCCCGCAGAGAGTGGTAATCCTTGCGGGCCAGGTCCTCCAGGCAGGAGCCGAGGAAGCGAAGCTCGATGGGGACGCAGAGGTCCAGGAGGCCGCAGAGGAACTCCGCTCTGTGGGCGGAGGTGAGGGTGGAGAACCAGCGGTACACCCCCTCTCTCTGGACGCAGCTCCGGCTCTCCACCATCCTCACACCTGGAACCACCGGGATCAGATTAACCTGTCGGCGCTCACATCAAAGGCACCGAGCGCGTGCGTAAAAAAATCTTTGTAACTTTTCTCCAAACTTTTCCCCCCTGTCACTCTTTGTTCCCACGGTGAGGAAAATGAAAGAAGAACAAACGTTTCCTTTGTTTTCTGATCTCTTCCACAATAATCCGGTCGGTTCTCCTGAAGCCTGGCGGCCGGTCCGGACGGGTTTTTGTCTCTCCACCGAGCCCCCCTCCGCCGCTCGGACCTCACACTTCCTCACACTGTTGCTGCAGAAACACCAACTTTCAAACACTTGGTCTCATTTAAGGAGACGCAGAACTGTGCAGAGACTTCGGGGTCGGGCGTCCTCATGGTCCCAGTAAGCAATTTCAAGTTAGACAAAGCTTTAAGACAAACCCGGAGCAGCCCGGGGCTACAGCGCTCTGCAGCTGGGAATGGCATTTAGACATTTCAGAGACATTACCTCACCAGACACTGTTGTGCAAAGAGCTCCCACCGTTTAAATAGTTCAGTCTTTGTCAGCCGTTCGCAAAGTAGAAGTTTAATCCTGCCTGAATGCTGCCATTACTTCAGAAAGAGAGGAGAAAAAAAAAAAAAAACAGCTGTGGAGAGCATTATTCCAGCTCTGGCAACAGGCAGGGCCCATAGAGAGGTATGCTCTCCTCTGATTGGCCAGGCCGCCCGTCTTCATGAGCTCCTGTGTTTTGATTGGTGCAGAGGGGTTTCCGCTACGCTTCTACTCCACATCTTTTCGTGGCTCTCTGAAGTACCTCAGATGAGTTAATGACTCTTTAAGGTTCCAGAAAAAAAAAAAAAAAAAGCGTTGCACAATTGTCTTAAAACATACAGTATTATAAAGTTGGAAATGTGATGCATTGTCTGCGTGGTTTAAAATAATAGAGATATATGTTTCTTTTTACACCGAGAAACCTTTGGGAAATAAACAAGATTCATTTTGTGCGAAGGTGACATGAATCATGGGGCGGAGCTAGATGGGGGGCCAGGGGTGGCCATGGCCACCCTTAAGGGCCTACTATTTTTTCCCTCTAATACAGACAGTGGAAGCAGTGATACTCTCAAGTGGAATGTTTTCACTTATCAACATTTTAATTTTCTATATGTAAACAAGTACCTGACAATAAAATAACACTGTGTTTAATTATGCACATCAATATACTAACATTAAAGATGATAAATACAGAATGCATGCTCTTTTCAGAACTAGATTTTGTGTTATATTGGGTAAGAAGAAAATTATGTCTCTGCAAGTCATCTAAGGAATCTTCACTGAAATCAGAGATAAATAACTACTTTAACAATAAGTAATCTGCTTAATGTAGATATTAGAACATGTGAATATACATTTTATGCTGAATGATTATTAATAAAAGTAGATAAGTAATGACAATAAATAAGATGTCCGCCCCATAACTCAAAACTGAAAGAATTTTGTCCACTATACCTTTAAGTCAGACAGCATGGATGTTTAAATATATGTGTCTATTTGTTAGCAAAGGCTGTAGGAAAGTATAGTTTGTCTTTATGTAGAAAATAGGGACGTGCTCATTCCTTTTCCTTTTGGAAAAGAGTAGATTGACCCTGATGTTCTGGCACCTATCCGCTTATGGCCACCCCTCAGTGTACATTGCTTATTGCCTGGCCAACCTTATTAAAATTTTCTGGCTTTTCTGAGATTTTGCTCCATGTCAAAAAGATGCTCTGCTCAATTTAAGGGCCAGTTTAAGATTATTCGAGTTTTCTAACACTATCCTGCAAGAAATCCCCATCAGAGCATGTCTACATCTTGGCAAGGCTGAACATGGGTCAGTTTTAATTTAAACCCTTACTCATTTACTCTGCGACCAAAAGTGGAGAAACATACCCTCTGCATCATTACACTACAACAAGATCCATACTGTCATGTTGTTTACATCAGACCTCACCATTTCAGTGTTTTAATTAAAAACATGACTCGTCTTAAATGTTATTGTCCAGGTTTGGACAGAGTGTGAAAAGCTGAAAGATCCTGTTCTAAGCTGAACTGGGAGGGATTCTCTCTGGTCTTATGCTGCCATATCTGCTTCAAGTCTCAGCCTGCTGTTTTTTCAGGGATGGTAATCTGCATGCCTTTGCTGCAGCAAGTTATTACCAGTAATAATTCTGCATTTTTACCATCTAAAACTAATCTCCTTATTCTCCTCAGATTTCTAAGGTCAACAACATATTTTCAGTAAATTACAGGGAGTGTTGGCCTAGTGGTTAGAGCAGTGTGCTTGTGCTACTAAGTATTAAAAGTGTGCATTTATGTATATACAGATTATAAATCCTACAGATCTTTAATAACATATTGGCACATTTTAGTTTTGGTAAGATGTTGATACATTTTGAGGAAAATATATGGAAAGCAAAAACAGAAAAATAGAGTTTTTTAACATTTTCACTGTGATGTAATAAAATCATTTCTGATGTGGAATAATTTAAGACAGCCCAAACATTTATTCACTGCTTTAAAAATCGCACCTATACAGTATATTTTACAAGGTGAAAATTTTGTTACCAAGCCTTTTTTCTAGGGAGGTTTTCCCTCTTTAAACTATAGACATTCATTCCTAACCCTATCTAAGGGCTTCTAGCAGCAAAAATCAGGAGTTCTAGATGGATTAGTCTGAAATAATACACATTTCACATCATAAAACAAGGTTATGCTTGGTTAATAAAAGAAAAAAAAAAGATAAAAACTAGTCTGATAGAATATGAAGCATTTTGCTGCAGCAGCACCTGGTGATTTTAACAGCAAATAATTCCCAATTAGATCTGCCATGTATCAGAGGGTGTTTAAAAATATATTAAAAACCATCAGTGAAAAACAGGAAGCTGAGAAGAAGTGGACTCTGCAACATGACAGGGACTAAAACAGACAGAAATCCACCAAAAACTGTCTGGAAATTAAGAAGTGGAAAATGATGAGCAATTTTATTAGGATGCTGTGGAGCAACATGAAGAAGGCTTGAATCAAGAAACCCACCAAACATCCCACAGCTGGAAGTGAAGAGTGGATATTTTCCTCACGCTGGTGTCAGATTTTACGGGGCAACACTGGCTATAAAAAGGTGTCTGAATTGAGGTATCCTTTTCCTCAGTTTATTCTGAAGAATCCAGGGGTGTTCTGAGGTCAAAGTAGGTCTCAGTCTGCCCACTGTTTACATTTTATCACTACTGCACTTTAAGAAATGGAAATGTTCATTTACTGTCTGGAAGCTGTACTAAACAAAATCAAAGTTGTTTCGGAGTCTAAGTCTAATGTGACTAAGTATCAGATGGTCGACAGGCTTATCTATTCTCTAAGCTTTTTTTTTTTTTAAACTCAAAATAACGGAGCAAAACCCAAATTGCTGCAGAGAAGGTCCCAATACATCTATCTGCCCCTAACCTCTCCATCTTGGCATCAGTCAGGAGCAAGATATTTGACCTAACTTTCTAGTGCAGAGAAGTACTCCCAAACTGGAGAGAGCAGGTCATCTTTTTCTGCTTGAGAACAATCACCTCAGTATTTGGGGAGTGATATTTTGTACTTCTTAATTCTGGAAAGGTAGCAACAGTTCTGCTGCTAAAATGAGGAGGTGAAATAGAGGCAGTTGTACCAAAAGATTGACCCCTGGATAGAGCAGCTGCTAGAAAAATGGGACCTGAAGAATTAATTCTAAAGAAAATGCATCAATCTGATCAAAATCTTTGTTTTATGCTAAAATATGTCAAGCATATAATTTTCCAGATAAAGGTTCTAGATCGATTCTTGATTCTCAAACACTGACCACCAATATGCTTTACATATGCTCATTATTAATATCCAACTCCAGATATTGTATATGTATTCATAGAGGCAGAGATAACCTTGCCTTTTAAGCAGGGTTAACTTTAATGCAGGATTTGTCAAATAATCAAGAAAGGAGGCATTCTTCCTTTCAAATGGTATTTCCCGTTTTAAAGCTTTGTCCAGAAGATGGCGCCAGATATCTAAGTTTAAATCTAATCATTCCACACCTGCTGCAACGAGAGTCTTTGGACCCTCAGAGGGGAAAACAAAAACATGCTCAGACAGTTCAACATCTAAATTTAGAAACTCTTGCACCTTCTTTGTCTTCTTCATCAGTCCATTACCTTCTATCTACCTCTCCTCATTACAGACAAAATAGACCACGCCCAACGGCAGAGGCCCCGTCCCCACATCCTGGCGAGGAAAACTCGGTTACGGTTGCCATGGTAACCACGCTCTTCCTTCCCTACCTGCTCCACTCCCTCATTGCATCAGGGATGCTGCAAAACTGAACACGTAAATCATTCAAACACATCCATTCACACACACCCACACTAACACAAACACACAGCAAGATTAAACTAGTCTACAAAAAACAGACAAAAAAATCACAGGAGGCGAAAAGTTTTCTTTGAAACACTTTCATTATTTTCTCCACACAACCGAAAAACAAAAAACAGAGTATTTCCTGAGAAGAAAGAAAGAAAGAAAGAAAGAAAGAAAGAAAGAAAGAAAGAAAGAA